ATGTTGATTACTTGGTCTTGTCCTTGAAGTTACATTCATATAAGTTTTCATTTTATTTTAATACTTATGTGGAAATTGCTGATTCGTTTGATGTATGTACTGACTTGTTGTTTGTTACTAACAATTTTCTCCGTGAATGAAGCAGTCTCGGGAAGGTGGAAAAAGAAACTGTAGTCTATATTTATGTGTTAGGGCACCTAATTCCGTGCACTGTCTTCGACATCCAACTGTAGGTTCGAAACCCCGAAACCAGGGGCGGACTACCCATCTTGCAGGAGCGAGATTACGCTAATCAAAGCTCTTCAGTTTAGAATCTATGTGTGATAAATGAGTGGCGATTCAATAATTTCCACATATTTTGTTTTTAGTCAAATTTGCCTACAAGGCCATGTAGTTTTCCATCTTGCTTTCAACAAAAGGACTTTATTGCACCAAAGATGAGTCACATCCTGTACTTTTAACCCTTTCTCAGAATCTTGGTACCTGCTTCTACCTGACCCATTGTCCCCAAAAACTTGCTTTTAACCTTGAGTGTAACCATCCTTGTGTATATGCATTTACTATCTTTGTTAACTACTGCTTAAACTTTTACAAAATATTTTGTTAATTAACTTTTGGACTGTTTTAATCAAACTGCAAGGTTTTTCTTACGTCGTACTCTTTTTATCCTTGGCAGTGACTTTTGCGAGAGTACGACACCTTTTGGCTTTGTTTGTTTTGTTTATATTAATGTACATCAACTAAATTTCCGGGTTTTCACAATCATAATAATTACGATCATTATTAAACAAACTTCTCACAATTTCAGTGTTTTATTTAAAATTCCTTCCCTACTGTGCTTCAGGTCAAAGCGTTGTCTACAACTAACGTAAGGAGGCCCTGCCTTAGATGTTTTATCACGTGCCACTTTTCAAATTTAAGCGGGTACTTGTTTAGTTTTAGAGGGAATAGTCATTCGGGTGGCCATTTTTTTAAAACGTTGCCGGGTTTATTTTATTTCCGTGTTCTTGTAGTGTGAAGTTAGCGTAGAACCTGGGGGTTAAGTACACTACAACTGGAATTCACAGTAGTGACCGAAGGCTTTAATTCGAGAAGAAGAACATATTCTTTCCGAAAATACAGCGACATTTGGTCAGCAGGAACAGGTATTATAAACAAAACAAACGGTGGCACGTTAAAGCAAATTCAAATTTTAGCGCGCTTGCGTTTGCGCAGTATAGGGAGTCAGTGTGGAACACATCTGCAAGTGACGATATCCTCAGAGTAAGAAATAAAGATCTTACATCTTACTCTGAGACGATATCTATTACATCTGTCACTTCCCTTACTATTAACTTATGCTAGGCGATTACACATGATTGCAACATGGTATGGTGGTAATACCAAACACCTTCTCCTCAAAGATTTAATTTATGGTGAGTTTTTATTACACGACCTGATTTTGAAATATTGGGTGGTTTGGTCTCGAGATTGTATGGTTTCCGAGATGGTTTCTTTGAAGTCACTTTTTGACTTAAACACTCTTAGGCTTATAACTATCATGATCAACTGCTAGGATTATGCTCAACTCTTGAACTACTGGGTTTGTTAAAAATGTCATTGTTGGTGTCTTTCTTATAAACTAGGTCAGGATAGAATTCAGGATCTAAAACATGATCATTTGTACAAGATTTTGTAATCGATGGTTTCATTTGGTTTGAATTTCGTCTTACTATTTTGTTATTGTGTTCTTTTTTATGCCCCATATGATCTAGGCTCTTTGGCTTTTTCTATAACTATCGCTTTGTGCCAAATTATGTCTTTGCTATTTTTAATTACTACTTTATCCCCCGTTTTAAAATCGGTTGCATTTCTCCTTGCAGTTTTGTCATAGTGAATTTTAATTTGTTTTTGTTGCTTACACAAGATATCGTACACGTTATTTTTTATCTGAAGTTCCAAATTTTTGCCGATTGTTGGTAGCCGAGTTCTTAGTGATCTGCTTTGGAGAATTTGAACTGGAGAGGCTTGAAGAGAGATTATCTCTGTATTGTTGTATTCCATTGCCTCTCTCGAAAATCAGTGTTTGTTTCTACGCTTTTCCGTAAAATCTGTTTTGAAATGTTGACCGCTTTTTCTACAAGGCCATTCGGGAGTACATGCTACAGTGGTATCCTTTCCACGATAATAATTTAGACATTTCTGGGATATAAAAGGTAGGTAGTTGTCAGCTATTAAAATTTGTGCCTTGTGGGTATCCAAACTTGGTGAATACATCTTGAAAAGCATTAATGACAGAGTTTGATGTCTTATCCCATTTTTAGAAGCATCACATTGTAAGATTGTTTTCTTTTTATAGGATCAAATGGTAGTAGTGCTGGGGATTTAGTAATTATCACTTTTAACTTTTCGAAATATTGTTGTTGTAAAGGAAGCCACTTGAAGTCAGCATTAGATTTTAACAGTTGACAAAGAGGTTTAATGTGATCGGCCATACCTATTTGGAATGTAGGTACTTACCTACTAACATAATTGAAACTACCTATAATTCTCTGCAGTTCAGTTTTGTCTTTTGGGCTTTGTAATTTGCGAAGAGACTCGATCCTCTCTGGATCTATTTCCATGCCCTTCTCTGAAAAAGCTTGTCCCATAAATTTGACTTGCTTTTGGCAGTACTGGAATTTTTCTTTGTTAAATTTAGCGCCCATTTCTTTTGCTCTTCTTATCACTTGTTCGACTGCCCTGTCATGTTCCTCTTTGTCTATTCCCATGATTATCATATCATCATGGAGCAGCTGCACATTTTCCAAGTCACCAAACTTACTTTCGATCTGTTCTTGGAACAAGTCTTGGGAATTAGAGAGTCCATACGGTAAAACAGTGAATCCATAAATGCCAAACTTACCGTTACTCTTTTCCACGATAACCATTTGGTTTATGCTAGCTTGCGGGTCTATCTCTTCAACCTTCACGATAGCCTTCCTCTGTACCCACAAGTCTATCGAGTTCATCTCTCACAGCATTTTTATAGCAAATGGAACCCTTGTAGGGGGGTAGCTAACCGGTTTAAATTTTTCGACCGTTGTAATTTTATACTTTGCCTCAAACCTACCGTAACCAGAAAAACTGTTGGAATTCTCAGATACCTATAAATTTATCTTTGTCTCGGTTTTTGTTATACTCTTGATTATTTTTCAAATTTGGAAAGTAAACCACTTCACCAATTCTTGTCTTAGTTTCAAGATTTTTTATTTGAAATTTAATAATTTATCACCAATAATCATTAAGTTATTTACATTACACAATTACAAAACTGCAGATTGCATACAATTAATTAGTACAATTGAAGGTAGAGTTGTTGTAGACATTATTGTTTGTTTTAGGGGCATTATAGCTTGTGGAGGTAGCCGAATTCATTTCAACTGTAGATGTAGGATCTTGCCGCATTTTCATTAATATTTGTTCATGGTGCTCCTTATCTAGCTGCAAGTATGGTTTTATTGAATTGACATTGGAGTGCCCGGTAATTTTAATAATTTGCTGCTCCCCAACTCCAGATTTTGCAAGTGTGGATACAGCAGTGGCCCTGCTCGAGTGGTTCGTTATTTTCTTGTCGGTAGTGTTAAGCCCAGCGCGTTTTGCAGAATCGTTCATCCATTTTCCCATAACATTTTTTCCTACAGGAACGTCTTTGTACCAGCCAACACCTTGCTAATCTCTCCAATTGGGGTTTACAGTTAAAAATAAACGGTCCGTCTTTATATTTTTATCTCGAAAAGACAATAACTTTAACAACCTTACCGGACAGTAATCGAGAGCCTCTTCATTTGCAATTAGCCACTTACTATTTGCGCACTTCCGTTCTCCACCTTGTGTTGTCTTTGTGAACACAGGATTGTATTCAATTCTACCAGTATAAATACCATCGTTTCCCAATTCCTCCTTAAAGTGATGCACGAGTGCCGTTAGTCCTTCATTACCCCTTCAAGCCAATTCCACGGAAATGATAATAAATAGTTTTCGTTGCAATCCCTCTGGTGTATTTTCGTTCCAGACGTTCATCATAGCTATTATGTCTTTTTTGTCCAAAGCCGTTGAACTGGTGGTACGTTTGGTTGGATCGACCTGAAGTGTGCGCCTTTTCGCATTTCTCGCATCCCTAGCTACTTTAAAAGTTGGGTTTTTGAATGGGTCAATCTCTCTGTTGAATTCGTTGAAGTACTTGTCTTGTATCATTTTTGCAGTCTGGTTCCACATAGTTTTCACCACATTTTCTTTATAATTTTCTCCGTTCGATTTTCGCATGTTGAAAGCCCAATCTGTTAAAATATTAGCGAGTTGTTCATTTGAAGTGGTTTCCATTAATTCAATATTCCTGTCGGCGCAAAAGGAAGAAAACTGTTTCCAAACCATGTTTTTGGTTTTAATGGTGTTTAACGGCACATTTTCCTTAGTTTTTTCTTGTATATTTTGTAGCGATTCTACACCGAAACGACTCATTTTAGAGAAAATGTTGCACTAAACTTGTATTAACTTACAAACGTCAAAATTACGATTACTAAGCGTTGTTAAACAAATGTCTTTATAGACATGGGTTGCTATTTGTTTCAAAAATATTTTCGCTGTCTAGCAACAAGCAGGGGTATATCCGAAAAATATCCGAAATAATTCTCTCCAGTAGCTTTGAATACGGCGTTTTCATTGGTCGACTGTTAAATGTGAAAAATAATCTAGCCAAATACCCCTCGAGCTTCAAAATTATCGAATATTTCCCGAAAGTTTGGTTGCATAGCAACGGTGCGGTGACAAATTTGGCAGAACAAAAATCCCGAGCCCCCCTCGAGCATCAAAATTAATCGAATATTTCCCTTAAGTTTGGCTGCATTGCAACGGGCGGTGTCAAATTTTGGCAGAACAAAATTACACAGTCCCGATAGTTACATGTACACTCCTTGTCATTTTACAAGCATTTTTCTACGGGCGCGCATTTACTGCCAGCCAGCCAGCCAGCCAAAATGAGATTAAAAGCTACTTTTTACCAAAAAAAATTTGCAAAAATGCGCTAAAAAGGTAAAAACTGACTATTTTACGTATTTATACGTAGAATCGGTAGAATCCAGTAGAAAGCTACTGTTGAAACAAAATCACAAATATAGGAAATTGTTTGGGAAATTGTACCTATACACCTAAAACTTTAGTTGTTAATTTTAATGTAGATACATATTCTATTTGTTAATAACAATAAAGTATCAGTATACATATATAGGTATAAGCAGAGATTGAGTTTAGTTACATACTATTCATTCTGAAAATATGTAGGTAGTATGAAAGAGAAGATGAAATAGAAGAAAATCAATACTCTTGAAAACGTAAGAATGAAAAAGCTTTTCAAATGATGCACAAATATTACTGTAAGGGCATCAATAGTATTTGCGATACATTAATAACTTTAATTAACTTAAAAAATAAAGAGAATGAAATATTAATTAACGCATTTAGACAAAATGAATTTCTAATATGCCCAAAAAAATTAAATTCAGCGTAATACATGCCACAGGTAAATAATTAATCATTAGCAGTATTTAGTTTATGGGAAGATTGCATTTTAAGGTGAAGATCCTAAATTTAAGTCAAGCGAGTTAAACAATCATAGTCCGGTAGTAAAAGGATGGCAGTCAGCAAAGAATTGCGATTTTCCTCAAGAAATTATGCTACAATTAGAAAAACAGTGTTTGTTGACAAAAGTTCAAGTCTTAGCGCATCAATATTTAATTCGTAAGTACCTACCATTTGAATAGGTATATGAAACTGATCTATTGTATTGGTAAATGTAGCTTCCAAAATAGAATTATTTGCAAGCAACCAAGACACAAATACTATAGAAGATGTTGTAAATATAAACTGGGATTATATAGGATATATTACATTATCTGACAACCAAAGTTCCATGTTTAAGAGTAGAGAATTGAAATCTGTCAGTGTACCACCTTGTGTTGCTACATTTTTAAAATTAAAGTTAGGTAAAAACCACACGAATGCATATAATGTGAATAACCAGGTAGGTAAGTCTCGTATCAGTTATGTCTTTTTGATACGCATTTTTAGGTAAGTGTAATAGCTGTAAATGTGTTGGGTAATGAACTTGAAGCAAGGAAACGGTCCATTGAAAATGAAAGCATCGCAGATAAATTAAATGCCTTAATAAGTGATCCAGAATATGTATCTCCTTATGACGATTTGGCCTTTGAAATGTATGTGGATGTGGGTGTAGCAAATACAATTAGAGAAATGGAACTGAAAAAACATTTAGCAGTATTAGGTAGGTACGATCAAAATTTCGTTGCACTCAAGTCTCATAATCTAAGGTGAACGGTACGAGTATGCCAGAAAACTTAAGCAAACTATAGAAAGGCTTCGAATAGTTGGAGAACGCCTAGGGAAGTATGATTTGGAAAAAAGACACGCGATTGAAATGGAGGATTACGAAAGAGCCAGACACAAAAAGAAACAAATGGAGGAGTTTCGACAGGAAGCCTATGCAAATTTATTTGTAGAACAATTGCTGGAAGCAAACGGTGTAAGTACTAGGAATTGTGCAATTTACAACTACTACTTATAGACACTAGGTGTGCTTACAAAACGACGAATGTGTAGATGAAGATTCGTCACATAGGAATGTGATGTCACCTACAAGCAAAGCAGATAAACGAATACCTTCCCCTAGCGTGACCTGCTTAAGCCAAGGATCAGTTTCACCTATACACAATCCGAGACATCCAAGTCCGAAAACAGGCTCGCCCTGTACTGGAAGCCCGACCAATATACAGACGAGGGGCTCCTTAAGACGGCGTAACAAATCAGCGGGAGCGATTACTAAAACAAGCTACGAACAATATGAAGAGAAACCGTTACCCACCTTAAGACAGTAAGTACAAATGCCTCCAGTCTGCCGATAACAATTAGTATTCAGTTCGCAGACTAACGAATTCCTACGTGAATGCCAGATGGAATGCGAGACTAAGACAACATCCAAATTAACTGAAAGAGAACGAAAACAAGCGGCACTTCCCATACTGGTGTTTGCAAATGATTTGGTCGAGAAATTTTACTCTAAACACTATTTGGATAAAGAGGAGGGGTTGAATCGATTGAAAGAGGAGTTATTAACTTACAATGCTAATAGGATGCATACTGCGAATAAAACGGGGAGAGCCGCAATATTTCTCCTACATCGAGCATTAAGGGACAAAGTGTTTTCGGTGTACAGTCTAGCAAATGAGGTTATCCGATTGTACTTTGTTCAGTTTGTACCCGGAAGGTGAGTATTTATTTATTACATTATACTCAGTTCTACTTTGTATATTAAATGTGATCGCAATTTTACTTGTGCTTTTAGTTTCCGATTTTCAAATCTCTGTTGGAAATTGCTTCATATCTGTTACACAGATCTTATTGGAGACATCAGTTTGCTTTATAAATGGCATTTTTTTTAACGCTTAGTTTCCATTTGTTATTTACAGTTTTCTTTCCAAAATTACAGTTTCCTTTTAATTTTTATAGTTTTCATTAGTCACATAGCTTTCTTTTAGTATTTACAGTTTTCTATTAAAACTTACAGCTTTCCTTTTAAATTATAGATAGATTTCATTTATTAGCTAGTTTACTTTTCCTTATGTACGTGTACAAATGTTGCCTCCTTTTTTGCGCTCCTAGGCACACCGAAAGATATGCGCCCCAAAATAATCTTTAAATTGCAATAAATTTTAAGATACTAATAAAAATCAAATTATAATTTGAAATTTTTAAAACTAATATGAAAAGAAATACAGTATACGTCCTAAGATTAAGTTTTCACACATGTCAAAACTTGCATTGTCGATGATCGTTTTACAGTTACAGTTTGTTTAAACTTTAAACTATCTACCAATTCCAATTTATTTCATAATTTTAATTAAAGATTTTTGTAATTTATAACTTGTTAGGGGACTTATTTTAAAACTTAAAATGTTACCTAAAATAAATATAATGGAAAAAATGCCCCCCCTAGGCAGGTGCCTAGTGTGCCTATATATGTCAATCCGCCACTGTTTATTAGTAATATATCTATGAAAGAGTATTTACTTTTCAAAAACTCACTCATAGTCTAGGAGCTAGCCCATGTCACGTGTGCAGTTATACGGGCCCTAAGTTTGGTTGGGGGATTTGTTAAGCATCTATGGGAGTATTAAAAAAATTTGGTCACATAGTCTAAACTAAATCATGGTCATTTGGTCGTCATATTTAAAAATTGCCCCCACGTGGCTAGATTTGTCGTTTAAGTGTATATCCCTTAGACCATATAGTACATGGACTGCTAATTGTAACTAAAATATGGTCAAAGAGATCGCCTGGGTATGTGAGTTTCAGGGTAAAACGAGTCTATCCGAAGTCGTCCGCTTGGACACGATTTGAGACTGTCAACGTAGCTGTCAACCTATAAATTAACAAACGTCACTTAATTAACCGCCTAGATATGCCAAAAAAGCAAATCTATTCTTATTTGTGGACGGATAGAAGATAATCAAGAGTATTTAAAGCTTCCCGTACTACGCAGTTACTATAAAAGCTACTCTTTGCGCGATCTGAGTGGTGTTTACACGACTTTAGTTTACCCTGAGATTCACATACCCACGACTACAGTGCCCTCTATCCGTGATCATCCATTTTGTATTGAAAGTATAGGGCTAATAGCAGTCCATGTCCTATATGGTCTAAGGTATATCCTCATACAATGGTTTAATATTAACTAGTTTTACTGATTTTTTGAAGGAATTATTTGGTAAATCCAAGTTTTTAAGATACATTAAGTGTTTTAATAAAGCACTTGGCGAAAGCTTGTTGATTTTGTTGTAATTACAATATTGTTATGATTAATTTCATTAAATTACCCAGTAATCTAATTTGTATCTGTAAGGTAGAAACTCATCTATGGCGTTCTTCAATTGATAAGATGACTGGTGGACCTCCCCAAATGAATCGTCCTTGCGCAATATTGAGAAAATCCTTAATTCTGTGGTTTCTACTAAAGAATATCGGTGTAGAAAGCACCATCCGGTAGGGAATGAGGATAAAAGTAAGCCAGAAGTAAGAAGCCTAAAAATGATTATTCAAAATTAATAGGTAAATGCGTAATTTTTGTCAACATACCGAAAACGGCCTTAGAAGGTGTCATCGAAGTGTCGAAAGCAAAATAACAAGAGAAAAATTCACTAAACTTGTACAGCATCAATAAACATCCCAAAAAGGCTGACAAAAATTGTCGAGTAACTGTAATGGCGTGTAATCTACTGCAAGTAATGATCGAATCTCGTCTTTGTAAAAAGAAGTGCGTGCACCGAAAGAAATTAAAGAAAACTGCACGACCTCCGTCGGCAAAACCAAGAACTATGTGAAAGAAATGCCGTAAGGATATAAATAAGAGCAAAAATACTAAATTATAACACATTGGGTGCGTTCACCAGAACTAACTGTTTGCAAACCGTTTGCGCTTTTTATATAAGTATATTTACTGAACGCATTGCTAATTGTCAAACTGTTTGCAAGCGGTCGCCATTTTTTTAATCATAATTCAAACTCGCTGAAAATCACAAACATGTTGATCGGGCATGCGCATTTGTCATAAGCGCGCAATTTGCCTGGAAACCACACGTCAAATTTAATTTGAGTGAATTTTGAGAAAACCGTTTTGTATTCTTTTTGTACATTTCAATAAAAATATGGCAACCTTTCTACAGTTTAAATACATCCTGCTATACGAGATGAATTGAATTGTCCTATAGAAAATCAAGATTGGAGTATTAAATGCATATTCACTGGATCCTTGAGTAAATATTTTTTATCCATAAATTGTACCTGCTTTATGAGAAGTTTTTATTTTTAGATTGTTACATTTAATAAATTTAATAAACTCACCACATAAGTATAGTCATTTTAAGGAAAGAGTTAAGATTTGTAGAGGTGAAAAACGTATAGTTATAGCAAAGAGTAACCATTCTTTGGTTATAGCAATTATGAGTAACCATTCTTTGGTTATAGCAATTATGAGGCGCTTTCTTTCGGCTACTTCGCAATCATGATTTCAAAATCGGGATTCTTAGGATCACGTTTTACGAAAGAACGCGCGAATTTAAATCAAAGTATGGTTAAGTTTACGGAGTACACATTTGCATTCGAATTACATATTTTTTGTTTGGATTATGAAAATAATTTAAATACAAGTGGAAGTACTTGCACGATTATGCTCCTCTTCAGTTACAAATATTGACTAAACTAACATTTGAGCAAAAATATCATTGCATTTATAGGTTAGGAATTTGTGATCATAAAACTTTTATGTTCAGTTTGTTCACGATTTTAGCAATCATGATTATAAGATGACAATTCAAAAGAACGTGATTTGACAATCCAAACGCGTTTGGATCACCGAAAGAAAGCGCCTATGGTTACTCTTTGGTTATAGCACAGATATACGACGTATAATCTGTGGTTATAGTGTTGCAAGGCAGGGTTTGATGGCCAGCAATCTACTAGGAGACGAGCAAATCGTTCGTGCCGTTTTGGAGCCTTCATAAACCGCATATGAAGGGGTCAGTACAAGTCCAAATGAAATCGAGAGCACTCAGCCAGTATCATTTATAGGTTATAGAGATACTTGTGTTAATTATTAGTATACGAATAATGTACCCTAATTAGATTCGAAGAGAAGTTTGGTGTGGAACGATTTCACACAGTTATTCACAAAGTTATTACTCGTCGAGTATTTCAAATTTGACATTCGTCAAAGGGAGGCTGAAGTAATACTGTTAAAATATCTTCTTTTTTTGTCTGGCAACTTTGTCGTGGACAGTGTACGTTCGCAGTTTCTTGCGTTTTTACGGATTAACAGCACCATTTTTTGATAGGAAAAAGCTCTATCAAATGACACAAAAAGTAAAAATGACTTCCATAAGAAAAAACAAAGCTGATGATGGTTAACCGGAGACGAAACGTCAGACTAAAAATTTAAAACTAGCATCTTGTATATGGAAAAAAGTGGTCACAATTATGCGCCGTTTATTTTGAAATATCTTTTTAAATAACTTAGGTAACAAATAAAAACGATTTTGTAAAATGTCATTTTTTTTCTGCATATCTCCGAAAGTAGTCGGAATTTTTTCAGTTTCAAAACGACATTTTGTTAAGTATCAAAACTACTCAACTTTGCCAACCTCTATTTCTTACAGTTCCCGAGATCCCCATGGTGGCCCTCGAATTTGAATAAGCCTGCATACATGGAATGCTCCCTTTTTCATTCATAATTAAATTATTCGATTTATCTCTTAAAACTTTAAAGCGCATTGTGTGCAATGTGCAATTATCCAATTTTTGGTCGTGATGTATAGGTACTAGTAATTTACTCCAATTTCGCGCATAAACCTATATGCCGATGGTTTAAACAAATATGCATGCCTTACAAAATTACAAACATGTTTGTGATTTTCAGCGAGTTTAAATTGCGATTCAAAAAATGGCGTCCGCTTGCAAACAGTTTAACAACTAGCAACGCGTTTAGTAAACGTATTTATCTAAAAAGCGCAAACGGTTTGCAAACAGTTGGTTCTGGCAAACGCACCCTATCGTTCACCTGCGCCTAAACAGTTTGTGTTTGCAAACGTAATCAAAGCGCAAACATGTTTGGTTCTGGTGAACGCACCCAATGTTCACATAAAATGAAGCTATTTGCAATGCGATAAATGGATCTATGCTCTAGAACCGTGTAAAAACTTAATCCGTTGGACTATGGTTACATATAGAAATGACGGTATTTTAATTCCAAAGAACCTTTGAGATTTTACTAATGTAATTGCCAGACGTGCTTCAGAGAAATGGTATGTCCCTGTAAAAAGTTTGAAATAATGTGTTGTGATTTTTGTAAACGTGAGGGCAGTGTTTTGGACCAATGCAAGAACTCTTATACATAAGTAATTTAAATTTGTCTTCAAAAATCAATAAAACCTTCTTAAAATAATTCAAATCGAAGCAATGAGTGGGAAGATATACTTAAACAAAAAATCTAGCAACGTGCCGGCCATTTTTAAATATGGCGACCACGCGACTATGATCTCGATCACCTGACCAATATTTTTTTAAGCTCCTATAGGTGTTTAATAAATAATAAAAATTAATCTACTTTTTTCGATAAGTATTTCGTTCGTTATGGTCTAGAGGCTTGCACCAAGGAATGAAAGTTATTGTAGTAAAGATCAATTTTTTTCGTGTACCATAATTTTACACTTTTGCCGTTTATTAACGATTCTCTAGATCGTTTATAATTTTATATTGTCTGGCTGTCTGTCTATATGTCCGTGTGCACGATAACTTTGTTTAAAAACATGCGATCGCTTTGAAAATTGGTACCTACACATGTTTATTTATTATCCCTCTCTTGTTCTGGGCCCTCAACAGGCTTGCGCCCAATTACAGAGTGACCCAATCTTAATGATATAACAAAGGCCCCTATTGTTTTTCGGCGATGTAGACTAACGGGCCAAAAACTGCCCAAACCTCCAAAAAAGGAGTCATTCTTGTTACAAAGAATATATGAATCTTCGGTTTTCTGTGTTGGTATTACTTAAAGCTAAAGCAACTGTGCAGCCGAATTAAAAAAATTTGCGCATGCGCAACCCAACCTTGATGTTTGCGCAATCCAATTTTTTATTTGTTAAGATATTTAAATGAAGTTTTAAGATTTGTCTGCATATGTTACTGTTTTGTGTAGGACCGAAGTGTGATTTGTTACAAAAGTATTGTCGTAAATTGGGTATTTGTGTTTGGTGCAATAGTTCTGTAAGTCCTCTTACCTCCTTGTGAACGAGGAAGATAAAGTCGTATAGTAAAGGAGTAAGGGTGATGTATATGGTGTTTTGTTAATAGTGCACGGGTGGTTTTCTGCATTTGTCTTTTATGGAGATCTCGGAAACCATAAAAGATGGTTAAAATTAGGGAAAAGTTGCGCAGTTAAAATCACGCTGTAAAGGAAACCAGATCCCGATTTTGTTTTTATTTTTTTGTGATGTTATTTGAGTAGATACAGAAAAATAAAAAACACTATCTCATTGCCACTTTTTGTGTTCTACAAGACACCTTTGAAAGATTTGCAATACAACGTTTCGTTTCGAAGAAGTCATCATCAACTTTATTTATATGGCCCATAAGAGAAGTGAGTATCATTTATGTGTTACGAATAGAATGAACGGCATCACAAAAAAAGTCGGAAACTGTTGGTTTTAACAGGATGCCGCACCCGCGCACAGCGTCCTAATCGAGCGAGAATACATATTTTCTGTTAGTAAATTGGTCCGATAGGTATTCTCGAATGATTAGGGCGTTGTGCGCGGGCGCACCATCCTGTTGATACCAATAGTTTCCAACTTTTGTTTTTTTGTGCCATATGAAAAAATAAAATTGATGGTGATTTCTCCGAAACGAAACGTTGTTTTGAAAATCTCTTAATGGTATCTTGCAGGGCTCAAATTACAGGGCTTATTTGTATCTGTTTTAATAACATTAATAAAAAATAAAAACCAAATCGGCAAATTTTGATTTCTCTGTCATATCTTCGCAAGTAATCGGAATTATCTGGTTTTCTTTACAGTACGATAATAACTCTTTACCTTTTTCATAATTTAACAATCGTCGTACCTTCTATGGTTTCTCTGATCCCCGTGATAGACATCGTTATCTTGGACCCAGTGTATATGATTATAACACCAAAGTAAACAGAGTGTTCGTCTTCCTTAATAATTGATTTGCATTCTAATAATTTTTTGCTTTACCATCCAAAACTATCTACTTCACCTGACATCTTATAATCTCTCTTGCAGGGTATCTCCAGCGGAAACTGCCCGAAGTGTGGACAAGTTATTGCCAGAGCTGCTGACAAAGTCTGGAGACACAAGTACTAGGATACATCATATGGCTGTACATACTATTCTGACAATGGCGGACTGCAAAAATGTCAGGTAAGTTATATTTTTAATAATTTTCTCTCTAGCTGTGTATTATCAAAATTAATCCCAAAAGTGTCACCGATCACAGGATTGCACACCATCTGATTATATTTTCTATTATATATTTTTCAATTAGAACAGTATGACGACCATTTTTTCCATTTTTCCAGAAACAGTCACTCTTTATAAAAAGTCCTGCTTGTTCCAAAACTCCAAGCAACAAGCAGGACTTTTTAGAAAGAATGATTTATTTGAAAAATGAAAAAAAAAAAACGGTTCATTACAGAGATAGTTAATTTCATCTCAGGACATGCTGTATGCTTTTTGTACAGCTGCACAGTAAATTATATCAATATTTATTTTTGGTCTTTATTATTAAGTGGGCGACTACTTCTCGGGGTTTACATGAGAAAAAGTAGTACAATGTAATTTGTTCGTGAAAGAACGATGCACTGCTTACTCATATTTTATACTATAGTTCTCAATGCACTTCTCTGCTAAGCTTTATTCTCTATAATATAGGGATTTACACATTATTCCAACACACCTTAGTCGAAACCTCAATACCAGCACCCATCCAAGATTAGCTTTAAGTAGAGCTGAAATGGTGGAGCAGTTAATTATTAATCAAGGAATATCAACTGATAAACAAAGGTAAGAATACAACTGTTTTGTCACAATGAAATCGACAATTCTTTTCTAGCGGTTTAACATGTAGAACATTGTCAGAATTTGGGTTGAGTGGTTTACATCATCCAGCAGAACCTGTACGAAAAGTATCAGAACGAATTCTAGTTTTAGTGTACAAAGTAAATCCACGGTTGGTGAGAAAGCAACTGCCACCTGATGATGATATTACACGAAGGAACCTGTTGTATAGACAACTATTTCACGAATTTGATAAAATTGATATTCAGGTAAGTAGTTTAAGTCATAATGCTTTAGTTAACAAACGAATTTCAGCGCAAAAAAGAAGTTTTAGAACGAAATCGTCTTATTCAACAGTGTTCGTTAAGTCCAGAGCCAGATTATAAAGCTAGCATTAATAAATCCATAAGTTCGATTGATGTCCCGAATGAAAACAATGATCAATGCCAAAGATATGTCTTAGCCAAAAGCGTGAGTGGTGGAAATATATCTAACATAAATGGAAATGGTAACGAGAAACAAAGTACCAGCTCAGCAAGCGCACTATCAAGTCCCAGTAACACCTCACAACCAGATGAAGGAGAACGGTAAACATAGCCCCGGTTTAGAGAATGGATAATTAATTGTCATTGTAGACATTGCATCTTCTGCCACGAAATGGAGAGTACAATTTTGCTTATCAACAAATCAATGAACTCTCATTATTGGCGAAACTGTCCGATGCTTGTTCGTTGTAATGAGTGTAGTCAAGTGGTTGAAGTCTCAGCGCTCTCTGAACATTTAATAATGGAATGCGAGCAAAAGGAGTTATACACACAATGTTCGCAATGTACAGAGGCAGTTAAGCTAAGTGATTTTGAGAAGCACTCTCCTTCATGCATTGGTAAGAGAAAATGGTATTTCGATCCTATACATAAGAACTACACTAAACAGTGTGTACAATGATTAATACAATAGTTGGCATGATTTAGTGTAGATAGAAAAAGGTTTGGGGGTTCTTTAATGTCTACTAGGCAGTAATATATTTAATTATACAAGGTTGGTCAAAATGTGCTTTTTTTTGGAACACCATGTACTTATATTATTTGATATTTCAAATCTTTTATGTTTTCAAAAGAAATTCGTGATGTCATTAATTAGCAATAGTGTTATTTTAAAAACTTTAGGTACATTAATATTTTTACAAATTTTGCTAAAAATTGAGAGAATTGAATATCGAATAATATATTACAGGGTGTTAAAAAAATGCACTGTTGGTGTGCACGCCTATATGAACATCCATGTATGACTAAAATGATTACTGCCAAGAATAACCTCAAAACTTTTTTCGATATCTTGTATATTTTCCCTGATAATCGACTGTTTCCAGACCCTGGATAGATTATATGTATAAATTTGGGTCATCTTAAAACTGACTTTAATGTGATATTGGGTATAGGGATGCTGAATTTTGTCCGCATTATTTTATTTTGTAAAGTAGGAATTTTACAAAGTGAAAAGGGACATACTCAAAAACCTAGGTACTGTAATTAGTTTCATCCTTCTGTGTGTTCGAATCCGAACGCGCGTGCTTTTTTTTACTGCACATTAAATTTATGCGGCAACTTTTTGTATGAATTATTTGAATTGAAACGAACAAGGATAGTTATAATGTCATAATGGAAAAGATAATACGGAAAATTTAATTTATACGAATAGATATGCTGCTTAGGTGTAGGCGGAAATGAGAGGCGACGGGAAAGGTAAAATCAGGTGTTTTCATTTAGTTTTTTAAGGGTATCTTCTAGATAGGTACGTTCAATGGAGAAAATTTGCCTCGAATTATTCTACAGTGATATTTATTAAGAAGTAGACATAGAGGTTCACTGTATTGTTTTTCCCTATGTCTATTTTAAATGACAAAATCTCTTCTGAAAGACGCCTAATTTTATGTAACCAAGATAACTTCTTAAAACAAATTACGATCTGGCTGGTCATACTAATTAATTTGAATATTTTAAATTTACTGTCAAAAAAAATAACATTACCATTTACCACTATCATTGATCTGAGTATAGGTACTTATCATTTATAAAAAAGTCGATCTCACCAGGAATATAAAATATACATAATATGATTACAGATTTTCAAAAACTGATACAGCAACCACGTGATCAGTCCTGTGATATATCACTAACGTAGAAATCATTATTTTGCCCATACTAATAACGCAAAATAACGTTTTTTAGCAGACAACCTGCACGTTAAGTTTAACGTTTTGATATATCTTGGGCTGATTATTTTAGTTCATTTTTCTCTAAACGTGAAAATGTAGATCGGAATTCGTGAATTGGCAATGTCATTTATGAACCAAATTGCAAACTTTTGTATTTATGAAGGTATTTAAATAAAATGTGATACATAGGCACTTGGAATATAATATAAAATTAACACCGGTTTCAAAATTTGGTTTTGCGCATGCGCAATGTCAACTCACGTTTTGCTATATTTGTATTTTGTTTACACATTTATTACTTCTTACATTATTTTAGATCATACTAGCCTCTGAAAATGTGCTCGGCACACAAATAGTCAAAATCAACATTTGTAGAGGGTTTTCTACAAATTCAATACTTTTTTTTACCGTTTTTCCAGTTCCGAAATAAAGAAAATTGAACGAATGATTTGTATGGATTCGTAATTTTTTTCTCTACAAAAACCGAAATATACTGTATTTCCAAAATAATTTGGAGGGGGGGGGGCAATGTTTGAACACTACAGCTAAATATTAAAATAAATACAGAGTGCCCATTATGTACACTGTGTCCAAAATAAAATGGGGATCTTGGAAACCATAGAAGATACAACAATGGTCAAATTAGAGAAAAGATGCGCAATTAAAGAGATATTATCATGCTTTAAAGAAACCTAGAAATTACATAGTTCAATTAGTTCGGAAGATCTACCAGAAAAATTGTAATTCACTGATTAAGAAAATTTTTTTTTCCTGATGTTATTTGAACAGATACAAAAAAATAAGAAAACACTTTCGCATTGCCACTTTTTGAGCTCTACAATAAATACAACGTTTCGTTTTAGAGAAATCATCATCAACTTTATTTTTTTATATGGCCATTTTTTATTACAAATACAACGATGTACGGCACACACAAGAAAAACAAAGGTTGGAAACTGTTGCTTTCAACAGAATGGTGCACCCGCTCACAACGCCTTCATTGTGCGAGAATATATTGGAGAAATTTCCAAAATGGAGAATATGCACGATAGGTATTCTCGCACGATTAAGGCGTTGTGCGCGGGTGTACCATCCGGTTGAAACCAACAGTTTCTAACCTTTGTTTTTCTTGTGTGTGCCATACATAGTTGTATCTACAGTATGTCCTCTTTTACGGGTCATATAAAAAATAAAGTTGATGACGATTTCTTCGAAACAAAACGTTGTATTGAAAATCTCTCAAAGGTGTCTTCTACAGCTCAAAAAGCGCCATTGAGAAAGCGATTTTTATTTTTTTTGTAACTGTTCAAATAACATCAGAAAAAAAATAAAAAAGAAATCAACTATTTCGGTTTTTCTGGCATATCTTCGGAAGTAATCGGAATTTTCTGGTTTTCTTTAAAGCATGATAATAACTCTTTAATTGCGCATGGTTTCAGAGACCCCCATAATAGACCTCCTTATCTTGGACCCAATGTCCAGTAAATAGTAGTGTCAGTAAATACGACTGTATACAACATTTTTCTATATAAGTTGTTAAACATTTTATTTCCCATAATAACGCAGCATTCATTTGTTTTTATTTGGAAACCAATGAGAATTAGACGCATTCCATACTGTAACAAGTCGACGGAATAAAGAGTATTATTATTATTATAGAAACGAAAAACAATTGAATTTTTTAAAAAGCAATGTACTCATTCGTTATGCTATGGATTTTTTTCTTTCTGATGACGTAACACGTTAATGATAATTTTCTGAAACAAAAACAACTGAATGTTGCGTTATTATGGGACATAAAATGGTAAACAACTTTTATATAGAACAATTTTGTATATAGTCGTTATTTACCGAGATATATACTATATTCTACTCATAATGGCTACGCTGTATGTAAATCCTATGCTGTGTCACGCAAGTCATCACCATGTATGTAGTTTGTCTAATTTTCTATTAAATTTGAGCTTACACTGGCTCATTTTATAACATGGCAACAATGTTTTTCTAAATTAAAATGTTCAAAATGGTACTTGTTACAAATAGTTTTGCACTTAACCACAGACCATGTATAAATAATCTTCTTTTATTTTTTAGAACTGGCTGAAGGACATAACAGATGTCCACTCTGTCATGGCAACATTGAAGATGAAGAATCTACCTGGAAAACACATTTAATGGGCGATAAACCGTGTCTGAAGAATACGCGAGTTAAACATCATAAACAAGTAACAATACAAATTTAATAAATTTCAAATTTTTAAATTATTAAAGGTAGGTAGGGTTTCACAGCTTCTTCTCCAAACCATCATGATTAGTTAGTTAGAAAGTTACACCAATTCTGAAATTTTAGCCTACTCGTGCATGAATATATTTTAGAATTAAATTATGTATTGACTAAATTTTTTGTTATGTAGTTGTTTTTGACAACCACGGTCATAGTGCAATTTATCGTTATTATACGAATTATACATTTGTTTTACCCTTAGCATAATCTGAAAGATTAGAAAGTGGTGCAATGAAAAATGTTGGTTATTTCGTCGGCAATCGAATGAAATAAATGAAAACTTAACTTAGGTATTTATAACTGTTTACATTTTTAACGTAATTAATTCCTGGGCCAAAAATCTTTGTTACACAATAATAGTAAAAGTGGTAAAAAATGCTTGGCCACTATCCACTAAAAACCTTTCCAGGATGCATTTTACATGTTTTATGGGGAATAAAATATTCACATAAGAAAATAATTTACGATTTATTAAAAATGTTAACATAATTGTAATCAACTTCATTGAAAAAACACAAGGTACTAAGGCTTCGTACAAAATTCGTCCAAAGAAACAAGTGTGACTAATACCTATGGTAGATTTAATCGAATGTAAGCTTAAACTTTTTTTAACTACATAGTAGTTTTGTATGCCTATTAATGTTACAATTAACGAATAAAAATAACTCACAGATCATTCGACTTTAGATGTTTCACCTGATAATTCCTCAGTGTTAACGTTTTCAGTTTCTTCATCCGAATTCGCCTTTTGGAATTTATTGACAACTACAAACGGTAAGTCTAGAATAAGTTCCCATACAAGAAGTAACTTTACCATATTTGGAAATGTCGCCCTTTAATATTCTGAGGAAATGAACTGTGCTAGGTAAAGATGTGTAACAACGTAGAGACTGGACCCCTCTCCATCCACTTATGTGCAGGACTAATGGTTTATCGCCATCCTCCTCGGTGTATATTAAAATACAACTTCCGGGACCTGCAATGTAACACAGTGAACTATCATTAAACCTTTGCAGATTTTAACAAAAACATTTAGTGCCATAAATCCATTTCTGCATTTGGTAGATTTGCAATATACAGGGTGTCTTAAATTGAGTAGGATAGCATGGCTATATTTGTTATTTTTATACTTACAGATTCGGTTAAATTGGCAAAGTTGTGTAGTTTTTGATGCTAATGGATATTCCGATGCGATATTTTGAACAAAAATAAGTCGTTTCGTAGATAATTGGAAAAAGGTGAAAATCAACATTTTTAAAAGTTCAAATATTTTAGTAATAAAGAGAGCTATCGAAAAAAGTTTCAAATAAAAGTTGTAAGATTCGATGGGATAAATTCAATGAATGTAGAAATTTTTTTTTAAGTGGTGATTTCTAAGATATTGACATCAACTTCCTTATTTTAAATGGATGCCATATTGGATGTTTACGTCACTCGATAGAGAAAAAAATTACAAAACCAGTGATACTAAACACTTACTATTTCATTTGGGAATCAACCTTACATTTTTGCCTCGAAGTTTACAATGTATTTCTTATGGCAATAATTCCATGGCCGTGTCGATGGTGACTATGCGAAACAATAAACGAACGAATTTGGTTTCAATCATAATCAGCCATGGAATTATTTCCATAAGCAATACATTGTAAACTTCGAGGCAAAAATGTAAGGTTGATTTCCAAATGAAATACTAAGTGTTTAGTATCACTGGTTTTGTAATTTTTTCTCTATCGAGTGACGTAAAAATGCAATATTGGATTTTTACGTCACTCGTCCATTTATAATTAGGAAGTTTATGTCAATATCTCAGAAACCGCCATTTTTTTCTTCATTGAATTTATTGAATCTTGCACCTTTTAATTGAAACTTTTTTCGATAGGTCTTTTTGTTACTAAAATATTTGAATATTTTTTGAATTATCTACGAAACGGTTTATTTTTTTTAAAATATCGCATCGGAATATCCATTAGCATCAAAAACTTTACATAACAATATTGGCCACCTTTGGGTATATCTTTGGTGCTATACAGGTGGAAACATTGTACAGTGTGTCCTGTTTTTGTTGAGACTATAGTGTATCTCAGCTACTTTTAACGTTATCATATCTTACTATCCATGCAAGATAGAGAAAAGGTAAAACTGTTTTAGATATTTTTACGTAGAATCCAGTGGCGTAGTTAAACATTTTTTTATACCACCAAGAATGCAAAACACTAACTTTAATATATACAGGGTGTTGCATTTAAAACATAACAAGTTTGGGTTAAACCTTACAAACGGTGGTCCAAATTTTTTTTTAACTATGCCACTGGATTCCACGTAAAAATATCTAAAACAGGCAGTTTTTACCTTTTCTCTATCTAACATGGGTCAGCCAAAATAGGACACATGGTACAGTATGTCCCATTTTCAATACTTTTATAGGGTATCCCTGTAATTGTTACTGCTACCAAAAAAAGTTTTTGGGTTAATCTGAAAATGCAGAAAAACATTTCATACAAAAGTTTCTTTATAATGATTGTTGAATAATCTGGCGTTTTCGGAATAATTATACGGGGTCAGGAAGAAAAGTTATTGGACCTAACCTCGTTTTTTCAATGGAACACCCTGTAGATTTTTAATTTCAATTTTAATTCAATTCTCTATTAAAAAATGTAACACAAAAAATTAAAAAAATCAAACATTCTTTTGAAATGAATGTTAAGAAAATAATCAAGCGATTCAAAAGAATCCAAAAAGGATTTCAAAACTATTTTTGAATATTTTAGATTAAAATCTACAAGGTGTTTCATTAAAAAAAAGAAGTTAGATGACGCCGCCTATATTACTCTTTTCATAGCACTAACAACTACGGATTAATGAAGTCTCAAAAATTGGACACCCTGTACAGTATGTCCGGATTTTGTTGTAAATGCGGGGTAACCCTATTTATTACAGATAGAAACTTGCTGTTTTCACATTCCTGACCTATACTTTTTGACGAACCAAAAGAACCTAATGTAAAATTTGTCATTAGGATTAGTTTTTGCCCTGCAGGACAATTTTGAAAATGTAACATGTAATAATACAGTCTTTCTCCCCACAAAATTTTTTTTGAAATAATATCCAAACTTATTTTTAAGAATAAATATAAACAATTATACAGTGCGTTTAAGATGAGAATCACCTCAATATCTCTTTTATTTGGTGAGACACGAAAAATTCGTCAAATATAATCTTATATGTGACAGTGACACTACGATCTATCCAATCCTATATTGAAATGCAAACCTGTTTTTTTTAATTAAAAAATTTAAAATTTGAAAAGAGTAATCAATCTGCTGTACAACATAAAATATGCATATATAGTTGATATACAAAAAATTGAGAAATTCGTAATTCAATATTTAGAAAACATGAAATTTAGCACGCCCGCGCCGTGTGCCATACCACACAGAAAAGATCTACGTTAACTTGCTCACTTTTGCGCGATACAATGTACCCATGTAACACAACAGCTAGCGCGCATTCTGACAGCAGACGGTATGTAAGTAAGTTTTCTAAATATTGAATCACAAATTTCTTAATTTTTTGTATATCAACCATATGCATATTTTATGTTGTCGTATCGCAAAATGAGTGCTCGTTTCATATATCTTACAACATAGTTTCATAATGCGATGGCATAAATCATATTTGACCAAATTTTTGTATCTGACCAAATAACATACTGTATATTCTTCAAAGTTCAAACCACGCTCAATCGATATACAGGGTGTCACATATAAGTATGTGAAAAAAATTGGGCGGTAGAGGGGATCAAAACAAGCATTTATTCCAAATAAAAAAAATGGTAAAAAAAAGCAACCATAAGAATTAGAAAGACTGATGGCACGTCTTTGAATAGGATTCCAGGTATGCCCTTTCTTATGTTGCAAAATTTTTTTAAAATTCCACTGAAAGAATGCGAAAAAAATTCTGATTTTGACGAAATTTGGTATCTGGGGGTTTTTGAATATCACGAAACTGAAATTAGTTTTTGAAAATGCGAAAAAAATTCCACTACAATTCTTGGCCGGACAACGAAAATGGAGAGAATTCCACGAAATTCGTTGTGTAACAGTAACAGTCGATTTCTTTAATGCGCCATAACTTTCTATTAAAGATAATTGATTTTGGCAAAATCTTTCTTAGGGCACTTTTTTATGTACAATCCATCGAGATGCGCAGTTTTTATACAGGGTGTTTGATTTTTCTTATACGACCCTCAACTACATTTTTTTATATAGACCATTTTTTTTGGAGTTTTTCAAAAGACCGTAACATTTCTGAAATTTTTATGTATCACTTGTTATATTTATATTAAATATTATTTGGAATATTGCTTTTTATACATTTATGCCAGGTTTTTCCAACATTATTTAAAAGTTAAGTAAGGCTTAAGATGCGACGAGTTTGTGGTTGGTCGAAATTAGTCAGTTGCTCAGTAACGTTAAACTTAAGTCAGACTTAAGTAGTAAGTAATGCTGGAGAAACCAACCGTACAATATTATAACTGCAGACATCTAAGTTTCCATGGCGAACAAAAGATGGCAGGATTGTTTAAAATGACAATTTCTTGGTTATTTGAAAATGTTTATTCGTTCCAAATATTTTTTATTTCGAATACCACACAAAAAACAAGGGACATGAAAACTCATGTGAATAAAACAAATAAATAATATAATATATAAATAACTAATGCAGATAATAAAGAAATTGTCGTTTTCTGCTATCTTTTGTTCACCATGGAAACCTAGATGTCTGCAATAAAAATAATTTAATGTATAAAATGCACTATTAGAAATCATATTTAATATAAATAATAAGTGATCATCGAAATTTAGGAAATTTTACACTCTTCAAAAACTCCAAAATATATAGGATGCTCCATATGAAAAAAATGTAGTTTAACGTCCTATAAGAAAAACCAAACACCCTGTATTTTTATTGTATCGCGATGGATTCTACATAAAAAAAGTGCTCTAAGAAAGATTTTATTATTATCTTTAATAATAAGACAGTTATAGGGCAAAGAAATCGACTAAATTAGAAGAAACGCCCCCTACCGGCCACACGATTAGACAGCTGAATTTTGTTGGCGTCAGTAATTTTCTCTTGAGTTCCAGGCACCTAGGTCCATTTTTTTCTATCTCTTAAAATAAAGGGCGTTTCCATAAGAAAATGTCCGACTTGGACCACCCTGTACATTTACCTACCCTTGTAAAAAAATTACGTAGAGAATCAATTATTTGGGCTGTAATTTGGTAGTAATTTTACTATCAAATTACTCAGACAAAATAATTGTATTGTGCAGTTGATTTCTTTAATTTTCAACTGCATTTTCCCACCACACATCAGACAACTTACTCAAATTATCCACTTGCTTTTGTACTACTTCAGACAAATCTACAATGTTTGGAGGTTTTTCGGGATTATCATTAAGCAATAGTGTAATCAAATCGTCTCTCGGTATGCTTATTTTGCGGTCTCCGCCTATGTACGGAAAAATACTTTCCAATCCCTCCTGTGCAAGCCTAGAAAAACAATTAATCTATAAAAGTATTAGGTTGAAAACGATAGTATACCTAAAGGCACATTTCATGTTGCGATTATCAGATCGAACGAAAGTTCGTATTCCAGTGTTTATAAATTTCACCATCTGTTGATTGTTAAGTACTAAATCTTTAACAGCCGGTGATGTGAAATAAATATTTTTCTTTTTGCCACCGTGGCATCTAGTCAAAAGACACTTTGAATCGAAACTGTCCGAAATGTGATAATAAGTTTTGATATCTTCCCAAACTGCTTCGCCCTCTGTGAAAAATACGAAGGGATCTTCCTTGTAACCGTCAAAACGACGTTTTTTCCTAGATCCTCTAGAAAAATCGTTCTGGTTCTCTCGCTTGTTGTTTATGTTGCTTTCAGATGCTGATGACGTATCCACCCCCTCAGCTTTTTCGCCTTCCCCTGCAGATATAGGTTTCACTTTTCGTAACACGGCAACAAAAAATGCCCCGGTATTTTGATGGTGTGGTAGAATTCGTAAACTACAACATCTCAAACATTAAGACCTATAACAAAGGCGTTATTTAGCTATATTACCAACGATTGAGATGGTATCGATCCCGATCTTCCACTTTAGGAGGAAACATTTGTGGTCTAATAACAGTCTTCCATTTATTATTTACCTCGTCGAATGATTTATAAAATTCCAAATCTTTACTACTAACCAACCATGTTTCTAAACCTACAACAAACATCAAAACATTACTTATCATTGTGTCTAGTTACCAAAATTAAATTCTTTCATGGAACATACAGTTCATAGCTATATGAGAACTGAGACCTCATAAAAAGTTATATTTCTTTTGTTATAGAGAATACTTTTTTCCATATCTGTAAGTTTCTACAAAAGTAATCTAAAAAGAGGGCATATTAAATTTTCTTTTCAAAAATACTCGCCAGTGGCGATAAAAAAAGATTTAAAAATTGTTAAAAAATCTTATATAAAATCATTTTGAATCTTTTAAAAGCAATATTGATTTAATTTTTTAGTTAGATTTTTGAAACAAAAATTTAATATGCTATCTTTTTAAATTAATATAAAGAAGAAATGAGGTTGGGCCTGATAACTTTTTTACCCCGTATACTTTTTTGGAAAGATTATTCAACATGCATTATAGAGAAACGTTTGTAATAAACATTTTTTGCATCCCTTTTAACAAAGGAAATATAGGTTCATTTCGAAATTGGCAATTTTTTTGATTTTCCCCTACATCTCTTTAGCGAACAGATATTTTCAAACTTTATGCATTATGGACATACTGTATAAAAATGCTGCAAATGGGACACCCTGTAGTTAACTCAACTAAATACTTGATACTCATCAGCATGCTGAAAGAATTTTCAGGTGTCTAAAGGGGACTATTAATTAAAGCTTAATTTAAAAAAAAAAAGAGATACATATTAAAAGATTTGGCGATGTTGATTGGTAAATAATTTAATAGAAACTCAAATACTTACTGGTTAAGCATTTTTGCTATCAGATGGAACAAAGAAGTACGCATCTAAAGGTAGAATATTTGTCAGGCTGCTACTAAAGAAGCTGTAAATATTCACAGCCGAGGTGTAAAAAAAAAACAGTAGCTTCACTATTTATTTATTTTGCATATTTAATTAACAATGGTTGGTCACATTAAATTGGCTGTAGAACATGTAATCTAACTCATCGTCAGGATCTTCCAAACACTCCTCCGAATTAGTAAAAGGAATCACACAGACAGGATTAAATTCAATCTTACACCCGATAACACTATCGATTTCTAATTTGGCCCTCTTGGCCGCCCATTGATGTATGTTATCATAACATGCACATTGCCAGGGGTTGGAGTAGATTGTCAATACCTTCAAAGTAGTACTGACGTCTTCCAAAATTTGTCTGTGAATGTAGGTCAGATTGTTTCCGTGTAACATCAATTCATCCAATGCAACCAATGGCTTAAAAAGTCGCCCAGTTAACTGGTATATCCTGTTGTTACTCAAATTGAGTGTGAATAATGTCGATAGTCCTTCGAAAGCTCTCTCGTCTACAGTAAGTATTTTGTTGTCGCTCAGGTTGACTATCTCTAATTTTTGTGTGTTTTTAAAAGCATCAATCGGTATTCTTCTAATCAAATTATTGGACAGCTCAAGCACTGTCAAACGAGAATCGATGTCAAACCATTGATGTTCAATAGAATCAAGCCCGTTATTACTTACGATGAGATTCATTAAATTAGGCATGTTGGTAAACGTTCCATGTTCGAAGAAAGTTAAGCGATTATTGTGTAAATTTATTCGCGAAACGGAAGGTAAAACACCAAACACCCCAATTTCGATCATTCTAATTTGGTTATTCACCAACACCATGTCTTCGAGCTTAGGCAAGTTGAGAAAGGCGGCAAATTTAATTTTGTTAATTTTATTACCGGTGAACACCAGGGTCATTAATTCCTTCATATCTGCTATTGCTCCTTGTTTGATAATGGGCACGGTTTGGTTGTAACACTCGACGATCTTAACTTGTGATGACACAATTCTTGGTGTCACCGAACCGGTTACACGCTGCAGTAAAGAAAAATCGCCCACTTCATCTATTGAAAATTTTAGCAATGTATCTTTAAACGTTCCCTCTTCGCTGCCATTGGTGAAGATTGCAAAGAACGCCACTAACCATAAGGCATGCATTTTCTTACCACATGTGTTCAATTGTAATTTAACGACTGAGGTTATCTACCACTATGACATTGTGATAAGCTGTTTAAAGTTTATCTTGAAGATAACGGCGCCGCTATAAAACATACGGACATGGGGTTTGGCCATTTACAACCAGCTACCAAAATTGTATGATTGTACATAGATATATCTTTTTCATCCCTTAAATTAAGAAAAAAAATTAAGGAAAATGTTTTGATGACATCATGAAGTCCTCTTCGGGCTTTGTCCGGCGTCATTAACACCTTCGTGTAATTAGCTAATAATGTAATTTAATTTATTTCTTTGCTGGTTTCATTGATTAGAAGTTTGTAAAGATAAGATTCTTGTGGATACCTACCTCCGTAATTACACCAAGTATTACTGTTTCACGCAAACCGTTACCTAAAAGTACACAACCTTTCATTGATCAAATAAATCTGAAAATGTGCATACCATCATAGTTTTTCTTGACATATCGAAAGAAAATATTATCATGACCGTTTCACCTCCGGTTCTATCGCATGTCGATAGCAACTTCTTATTTTAAATAGAACACCCTGTATTTTTATTGCATTTTCGAAATCTACATGAAAATCTACGCCGTTTGATACCAATTTCCCTATACCCAGAATCAAAGATTTTCAAGTTATTCAAGATTTTTCCAAATGTTTGATGTTTGATTGCTATTCTTTGAGCTGTATTTATGACTCCGTTGACTTGAATTTCAAAAAGTATTCCAAAATCGACAGTACTCACTTGATGCTGCGTGACAATGATTTAAATTTTGATCGCTCTACAGGGTGTTTCAAAGCTAATAGTCAACTTTATTAACTTCAAACCTTAAAAAGTAGATTTTTTCAAACGAAACATGCTGTTTTTTGCACTTTTCAATAAAAAAAATTCTACATCGATTTAGTATTACATTCCCTATACCTATCTGTTATGCTTTCCTTTTTATTATAGATTTTCTAAAAATTGTGACCGTTATGCATAATTTTCTTAGGAGGCCTTCAAATAACCTGATTTCAACATGACGGAGCGCCGGCTCATTCTATCCATGATGCTTGTATGTCTTTGAAGAACATTTTTGAAGACAGGAGCCAGAGCTCTGTGGCGTTGATCTAGAACTTCAGATATAACGCCATTGGGCTTTTTTGTGTGGGGTCATATAAAGACAACGTTTACTTCACACCAGTTGCTTTTCGTGCAGAACTGGAAGTTAGGCTAGGAAGACCTTTTAGTGAAATGGATGTAGTAGACATTAAAGAAGCGACACCAACGGGATTAATCGGAGGATTACGCATTGAAAAAAACGGTGGCCACGTAGAACAAAACCTCAATTGATGTTTTTTTTATTTTGTCGTTTGTTATTACCTGTGTGTTTATTATGCCATCTTTATTTAACTTTTTATTATCTGTCATTATATTATCAACTATAACTATAAAAAGGTCTGACAGGTCTTCCAACGTATTTATTTCAAGGCATCCTAAGAAAATTATGCATTTTTTTTTAAATGGCATGGAAGGTTATCCATTTGCCACAAGATTATATAAGTTTATATAATTATTATTATATAATTATATATATTATTTATATAAGTTTAATTTGATTATATAAGCTGGTCAACTTTGTACAAGACGTTGCATAGTAACTCAAATATTATTTTTGGTTAAGAGAAAGTAAGTGAGCAAAATTATGCATAAGGGTCACAATTTTAGAAAAGCTAAAATAAAACGGAAAGCATAACAGATAGGTATACGGGATGTAATACTAGATTGATGTAAAATTTGTTGTTGAAGTTAATAAATTTGACCATTAGTTTTAAAACACCCTGTAGAAGGGCGATCAAAATTTAAATCATTGTCACGTAGAATCAAGTCAGTACTGTCTATTTTTGAATTAAACTTGAAAACCTTTGATGCTGGGTATAGGGAAATTGGTATCAAACGACGTAGATTTTCATGTAGATTTCGAAAATGTAATAAAATATAGGATGCTCTATTTAAAATAAGAAAGTTGCTATCGACATCCAGTAGAACCAGAAGTGAATAAATCATGATAATATTTTCTTGCGATAGATAATAAAAAAGTATGTTGGTATGTTCAGATTTAAATTGAATACTTCTAGGTAGTGGTAAGGGTATTTGTCTATGATTAATGTAGTCATTTCAAAATAAACCCAACTCAACAAATTACCAAAGAAAGAAAAGAGAAGGGGTATTTGAATTGATATTTATTTAGATACTAATTGCTTTGTTTGTGAATGAATAGCACCTATAGCCTGCAGTGTTTTAGAATCTACATTAGAAAACATCAAGGTTATTTTATTTCAAAGGTTACCTGGTAACTATGTGGGCGGAAGCGGGAGGGACGAAATGTATACGTCATCGAGAATTCAGACATTGACGTTCAACGTTGTTTGTAAAAAGTATGTTGGTATGTTCAGATTTAAATTGAATACTTCTAGGTAGTGGTAAGGGTATTTGTCTATGATTAATGTAGTCATTTCAAAATAAACTGCCACGGGCCAAACACACAAATAAACCCTTGGTATAAGCTATCAGTCTTCTGGCGAAGGGAAAATAAAATCGTTGCCGGCTGCAGAGAGGGGAGGTTCGTGGGTATTTAAGGGCGCCAGAAGCGGAAAACGCAACGATATATGGCAGATTCTGTTCCTGCTTCAGAGAACAGGGTGTAGTCGATGAAGCCGGAGACGGTACTAAACTCAAGGGAGGTAGACACACACACATAAAATAGCACAAAATTCTAGGAGGTAAATCAAGATTTATTTAGATTAATCAGTCGGATAATTGTTATGATTTTAGTCTGCGCAAGAAAGATGAAGAAAAAAAAAATCAATAGGTACAATTCAAATGAAAAAAAAAATTAAATTAAATTAGCGACCACAAGAAAAGTGTACTCGCTCGAGGCGTTAAGGCGAGTTAAATGACGTTTGCCAAGGCCAGGGTTATTGATAGCGCTACCGGGATAACTCCTCAACCACACTTACCTTACCTAGGTATGCTACTATAAATATATGTCTTGTGATATGCTTTACAACCGAAATTAAAATGTATACACACTGACTGGTAAGTAGGTATTTCAAACGTTAAAAATAAATTACTTGAATGCGGCCAAAATTTGACTGAATCATAACCTCCAATTAAAACATAACCTCAAATTATACAAGTTTAAATATTGTCATAAAAAAACATCGTGAAACACAAAAAAACAACACAGCAGGTTCAGGAGAACTAAGGAAAGAAACGGAATGAAGGATAGCTTAGAAAGAGGTAAGTAGGATAAGATTAAGATCAGAATATGCTCGGTGGATGAATTCCCTGTTCTTTATTTCAATACTGAACGATAATGTTGGACAGCACACACATGACAGCTGACCTTTGGATTAGCCGAAGATGTAGGGGACTTGCCAGCGCAGTAGTCCGGAATAAGAGCGCGGCGAACGGCAAAGGTGACGATGGTTATCCGCCACTCGGGTGGTATGAAGGGGAATCCTCCAACACAGATGTAAGTACGGTATGTAATTGCCTCGACGGTGCGTGTGATCTTGATCTTACAGACGACGACAAAAATAAGGTCCTTCACGGGACAACAATGCTCGAAGGCACAATCAGATAGAGATAAAAGCTAAAATAAGGATAATTTGAATACTGTTACACTATGGAAAACAACCTCTACGATGTTAGGCGAGCTTTAAGTGAATGTGTTTGATGATCCGCAATAGCGTAGAAAATTAAATACCAAAAAATACGGTACGTACTTAAATATTTCGTTACACCAAATCCCTCGAAATCCTTCTACAGAAACTGGTAATATCGCAGTAAAATGAAGAATTGGTGGAAACACATGTATGTCGACAAAATGTCTTCAAGGAAGTGCCGAGTAAAATTGATAAGAGCAACGTGAAAGGAAAAGTGATAATAGTTATCAGTAACAGGAAATAGTAATACAGAAAGGTGAAAGTTACTAAATTTGAATTTGAATTTTAGGTAAACAAGAATGAAGAGTAGAATAAAGTATAGCAGAGTAAAGTAGAGTTTTAAGATTAATTAGAATGCATAGGTAGTATGAAAAATCCGTTACAAAACCCAACTCAACAAATTACCAAAGAAAGAAAAGAGAAGGGGTATTTGAATTGATATTTATTTAGATACTAATTGCTTTGTTTGTGAATGAATAGCACCTATAGCCTGCAGTGTTTTAGAATCTACATTAGAAAACATCAAGGTTATTTTATTTCAAAGGTTACCTGGTAACTATGTGGGCGGAAGCGGGAGGGACGAAATGTATACGTCATCGAGAATTCAGACATTGACGTTCAACGTTGTTTGTAGTCGCGCGGGTGCTTATTTTTCTTGAGTTATAGTTTATTTGTTTAAAATTTGTTGAATTTTGATACCTGTTTTTTGCAATATAAAGACATTTAGTTTGTGAATTTTGTGGGTTTTCATAGCCGTGATTGAAATGTTAGTTCATCAATTATATGCACTTTTGTATGTTATAATTAAGTTTTTTTTAGATGAGTGGCGGTAACACTAAAATTCCTCATCCTGGTGTAAATAAAATCTCGGTTTTTACGTTTCCCAAGGACCCTACCGTTCTTAAAGAATGGGTAAGAAAATGTTTCACATCCGGCAGCAAACTAAAATGTGCTGCGCCCTCATTGGTCAAAACGGCCAACCGATGAAAGCGTAGCGTCCCTGGCCGCAAACGTTTAAAAGCAGAGCCACGAACTCTGCAAAGTGCAACGCAATTTCTGCTTCGACTGCACTTCAAGAAACAAAAAGCTCTCCACCTGCAGAACCAGGTCGCCTTGCCAGCTCGACCTCGCGCCACACTCCATCAGTCAGAAGACCTGCATCTGGGCTCACCCCAACGACAGAGCTCGCCGTGTGCATCTCGGTTACCATTTTGTACATACTATAAATATACATACATATTTCATAAAACGCAACAGCATTTTATTTGGCGTCATCCGCTAAAGAATGTTTAGAGTTTTAATTCCCAAAGCCTAGGTATTGATACATAGGGGTGGTTCCTATTTTGTAGATTACGGAATTTTATCCAATTCCACCTCTAAAATTAATTTGATTACATTTCCACAAGTTCTCGTGCAATGTAAAACAGCTTACGCACCACACTCATTTTTTCAATACTTTGATTGCTTTCAAAGGTGGAAGTCGATAAACTTCCAAGATTTCCAATATAAGATCCACCCTTATATACATATACCTACCGGGTGATTCATTAGAAGTGAGGACAATTTGAATTTCCCGCAAATCAAAAAAATTCTGAAGTTGGTACGAACTGATGATCATTTATTTAATTGCAGTGGTGTATCATCATGCTTTCAGTAAATCGTTTACTTATTTATAATCTTCAAATACTGCTTCTGTTTTACCACAAATTATAAACTAACACCAGACAGTCACGTTTCTTACATATTTTAGTGCATCAACTCCAAAAATTGTTCAAAATGGAAAAAGTAATAAACCACAAATGGCACGCGACACTGGTTTCTTAAATGACAGTCATGACAGAACAAAATTACTAACGAAATTCAAACCGTCAATCTAACAATGCAAAAAATACTAAAACCTTACGCGCGAAATTCAAGCGATCATCACTTCTAATGAATCACCCGGTATATAAATCCAAAAATATACTGCAAAAACTAAATTTTTTACTCCTTTTATTAGCATTGTAACCTATGAGCAATTTTAAATGTGTATTCTGGATGACGTTTTCCCGCCTTCAAAATGCAAGCATTTTATTGGTTTAGAGTTACTAGACAACCTTTCTAATAAAACAACCTTGAGAAAACATCAATAATTTGCATTGTTAGTCGCCTACAAATTTTTCTATCTAGGCGCACGATCGAAATCTTAATTCACTGCAGAGCCGCCTTAATAACATTACAGTTGCCTGGCAATTGTCTTGCGATTGTGTGGCGCGTCTTTGCAGCGTCGCAAGTACAACTGCTAAGTCGCTCAACAGCGCCACCGAATGGCGTGCTACGTGTGCCATCGGGCACCGGCAATTAACACCCGCGAACCTGAAATAAAATAGCTGTCATTCCCAGTACATCGAGATGGACGCTGTCCTCAAACTAGACGCCGATTTTTAAAAGAACGGCGGCCTGACTTGGTACGTGCGCTTCTGAATCGCGCCACTCTGCAGCGTTTCAAAAACGCCTCGTGAGATGGCGCTCTTAAGTGCCCGCCGTGCTATAGCGCGCGGTGTACGTGGCAAAATGGATCAGCAGTAAAAGTCACTCAAAATAGGAGTCTTTCCAGAGTTTTGAACGGTTGTTGTAACATGTAAGGCATGTTTGTGAAGGAATGAACAACCTCCACTTAAAAGCGTCAAGTCAGTGACAAGGGGTAAGAACATTTGTGGCGACCGTGACAGGACTTTGCGTGTAAATAGTGGCATAAGAATTGGTACGTACGAAAAGCAAACAGAGGGGACAGTTTGAATACCTGTGATAATGGGATCTATGCCATAATGCTTGAAGAAGACATGGAGGACGCGTTATTGACAGAAATGGATGAACAAGAGTTCTACTTTGAAACGGTTAACAGAGCTGTAGGTGCGATCTTTAGAGATGGTTGTGTGGATAATGTAAATATCGACCTTACACCAGGTAAGCGCAAATTTAAACTACCTCAAATCCAATTTAAACAATAGTACGGAAACATACGAGAGTAGTGCGACAAAGTTGAATACTTGATACAAGCTACAGTTCAAGGCAGGCAAGGGAGTTAAACGTGCGCGAGTTACTCGGATGATGGTTTTTATTATCGTATAGTTTTTTCTTTACTTGCTAAAAGTGCTAGGTTTTTTTTATGTCTCTTGTTGTTAATTTCATATGTAGGGAGTTGGTTGAATGGTAGAGCACACGGAATAACACGGTTTATTCCAGTCTGAACTTCACCCCATTGAGTCACCCATTATGTAATGTAATGTATAACATCTGTTCTTTGTATAATGTGTGCTCAATAAATGTCATTATTATTATATTATTATTATTAGTTCTAAAATCTAGTGTTTTAATTATGAATAGTCCTGCCTTATAAAGAACCCACCTGATTTTTGAATTCCATGGTCTCAAATTGGGTTGAAATATTAATAAAACCAGGGTTCGCAACTGATTTTAGCAAAAAAATAGAGACTTGGTCTCTATTTACCTCGCTATTTACATATTTAAAAATAGAGACCATTTAGAGATCTTCGAGAACCGATTTTCATACGAAATTAAGCAAAAAATATTTATTTTGTAATAGATGGGTTACATAAACGGCAATATATCTAAAAAAAAGTAACCGTTCAAACGTAACTGCATAAACATTGCAATTTTAATAACATTTTAAACAACAAAACAACATAAAATGAATACATTCTTAAAATACTTATTGCCGCAGCAATTGAGAAAGCTTTACTGCAAATCATGCAAAACACCTTCTCGTCGTTAAATTTTCGCCCCAAGATTCCACAACTTTGCCAGTAATATCTAGCTTCTTCAACCACTCAGTTTGAAATTTACACTTTCCCATTTTGTTTTTATTTTATTATAAAAAAACTATTTCTGTATGTTGTTAGATCAATCAAGAATTAAACAAAACCGGCCATCACCTCTAAATAAGAGCAAATAAGCGAAAATAAAATACAAACCAAACAGTAAAACTTGAACCAACTTCTCAACAGTTATCTCTGCGCGCAAAGTTGTCAAAACAAAACAAACATTTTCCTAGAATTCTGCAAATACTTTCAAAAACAGCATCTCAGGAAATAATTCGTAATTAATAGGGGGGGGGGGCTTTTGGACTGCGAAGTTTGTAGGCCGTCTGTGCCACCTTCAAGGTATAGACTACCTACTGCAAAAAATTCCAGGACTCTAGGACCACTCCCCTAGAAGTAGTTCGAAACGGCAGAAGTGGGCCCGGACGGACAAAACGCAAACAATAGCACATTTTTTTAATTCTTAAAAAATGCGCTAAAAATGTACAGTAAAATTATTATTAATTATTATTATCAATTATGAATTATACTTTTTTTAACAAAATTTAGAGACTTTAGAGACCAAATATGAAAAATAGAGACTTTTAGAGACCAGCATTGAAAAAAGAGACCATTTGCGAACCCTGTAAAACTGGTTGGGGAAAACAACAAACATTTTATTCATTGCATTTATTGTTCGGCAAGAATCTAATGGTTTTTTGTATGCAATATTTTTGTAAATTGATAAAACATCAATGAAGCTGTTATTTGGCTATTTTTCGGCTGCATATCGAAAATAGCGACATACTGTAACATTATGAAGAACAATTACATGTGCATTTCCGAGAACAAGAAAGTTGAAACTCTCCACGGCGTAACACAAGACCAGGATTTTGTAACCAGTCCGTGCAGAGTGCAGCTGGAGGACCAATTTCATTCTACAGAAACGGCGGCGTCAGACTAGGATTCTGTAGCCGGTCCGTGCAGAGTTCAACTGGAGGAAGAATCATTTTCATTTTGATTGAAATTAAAGCAGTAACCAAAACGCATCTAGAACTCCTACTGCCTCAAGGTCATTCAGTATAAATTGTGTTTGCTTCATTTACAAATAAAGTTTAAATATTTCCCATCCATGCAGTGTGTTTTTGTGAATTAATGTTTTTCACCATCTCCTTTACAGGATTATTCTGCCTCAAACCTCATTTGTAATATGTATTCTAATGCAGCTCAGATATACCTTCAACAATTTTTCAAAAAATGAATTGGCAAAACCCGCAAAAGTGACAAACAATCAAAATTGACCAAAAACAGCGCATTTATGGAACACGCTATAACTAGAGTAAGATATTACTAACCTGGATCGTGTTTTAATTCTGGTAAAACATGTGAAACATCAACTAATTCAAGAGCACCATTTGTTTCTACTAGAGTACGATGTATAACAGCTTCGTTTTCCAAAGGGTTTAAAGAGCAAGTGGAGTATACCAATTGCCCCCCTACCTTTAATAGTTCAGCTCCTCGGCGTAATACTCTAGACTGTACTCTACAAATAACATTCATTATTAAAATACAAATAGTAGTATTCAAGTACATGTGTTGGTGGAGACAGTTGGCAGGTGTCCACTTCATCCAAATATCCGGGTTTTTCCTTAAAGTTCCGTCTCCAGAACATGGCACATCACACAGAATACGATCATATTGAACCTTAAATTATTATTAAAATTGTTGATTTACAGACATGCACCACAACCTGTCTCGTGCCTCCTTGCTCGTCATTTTCTAATAAATTAGGTAAAATAGCACCATCATGGTTTATAACAGCCATACAAGGGGAATTTAAACGTTTTGCTTGATGGACTAACATGTAGCATCGTTTATTGTCAATATCATTCGCCACCACGTAGCCTGTCGGCAATGCATCTCCACTGTCGGCATGTAACATCTCTATAATTTGGGCAGTTTTTGATCCAGGAGCCGCACAAATATCCAAAACCTTTTAAAATTTATACCGTGAATCTCGTATCAACTGTAGACAATTGTAATGTGTACCTTGTGATGAGATTTAATATTCAAAAGCAATGGTGGTATCATACTAACAGTTTCCTGTCGGGAAATGGTTCCGTTCTCTGTCTCGGTGATTAAAAAGTTGTGGAGTTTAAAATATGCCTCGCTGCGTCGAATATCTTTTCTTGTTAGAGTTAGCTGCCAAGCTAAATTGTCAGGATACCTGAAATGAAAATTATTTACGTGAGTAGCAAATATTTCTGAAATTATATGACATTTTGGAAAAGCACAGAATGGAGACGACTCCAACGCAGAGCCTGATTCAAGGATCTGGTAGTGGACCAGCTCCTATTCGCAAAAAGAATGGAACTGGCGCACAGAAGGGAGGCAACCCGGTGTCAGGGACCAAGCATCTCAGATCGGAGGGAAGCATTCCAGGGCAGCCTGAGAAGAACCCTATAGGTTCTGGAGCAACCAAAATTGTGAGTGCACCCCAAAGCTATGGGTAGCTCATTGTTTACAGAAAGGACTGCCCCTCTTATTAGACCCTGGGATGGCGCGACTCTGACAGTTCAGAGGCACATCTCTAAAGGAACCAAGGTGTTGGCAGTGCTGTACGGACTCCTGGATGACACGGCGGCGGCCATCTTAACGCGTCTCCAGAGGTAAAATCCTGGGTTCAAGATGAGTCTATGGAGGGCGTTCGTCCACAGGGAGGAACCTGACAACTGATTTGAATGTTTAAATTAGAGAGCAGCTCCCTACCTTCCTTACAACGTGGAGGTCCTCTGGTGAGGCAGATGAAACTATCAGGCATATGGTCTGTCACTGTAACGCGTTGATCAGAGAAAGATATCAGCTCCTTGGCTAAACAGGGTCCTTTACTGAGAGGAACAGGCTCTGAACCAAGTTGCGAAAGAAAGGGGGGTCTTTAGTATGCCTAAGTGCTGCCTGGTCGGGCTCCCTTTATGAATAGAAACGTATATTCTAATTTTCACGCAATTGTTTTACTTTTAATGCTAAATAGCGACGGACAGCCTTCCCACCAATAGATGACGCCAAACTCAATTATATTCGCGGACCCGAGGAGTGACAACGAAATTTGGTCTAAGTATGCGAGCAATACACAGAGCGGCTAATAAAGACGGAAGTTCGATACCAATTGCCTAACAAAAAACAAAATCCACCCTGCTGTGATTTACAGGTGATTGACGTAACTTTTACTGTCCGCTCAAACCTTTCAGAACAACCAACTTTCCACTACTTTTTTTTTTAGTAACTCCCATTCCGGAATGTAAAACCCTTTTTTGCCAATAAAACTCATTTTTTCGTCCAATCAGAATACAGAAACAGAAAACAATAAATCGACTCAACATTGAGTAATTTCCCGCCAATCTTGCAAAACCCACACTACACAGCAGCCTCTATAATGACTACTAAAGTAGGAATTACTGACCGAGGTATTAATTAGTTGTTTAAATGAAGCTTTCTCAGAAGCTGCTTAATTTCAGAAACTGAAAAAGCGGACCCACTTTCAGGGTATAGGACACCCCTGATTTCCTTGACTACACAAAGACTGGAAATGGACAGCTTTAAACCTTTTCCACTGCCTAAGAATATAATTTGTAGCAGTGTACAATAAGTGCTTAGAGGAAAAATATCAAGCAATCGGAACCTAATTTACCATGGTAAAGGGGCCATACTGGTAGCCTCCTCCTTTCCATCCTCCGTTTGATGTAAGCAATCCTGAATCAATTCACCCTGTACAATTTCAAGCATTCTCTGCGCCTCTTCCTTCGATCCTGTAATACGAAATGTTGCGGGTAAGTCAGATTTTATTGCTGTAATGAAATCGTCCCATTCTTCCGGTTTGCATATGTTTTGTGTCTGAAAATGTGTGTTAGTTGACAGAAATAGCATAAATGCCATCTTCCACTCACTTGATAATATTTCACAAACTTTTCGTTCTCCTTTACTATAAATTCATAGGCCTTCCTTGGAGTTTTCGGTAGCTCTGCACCCTAAAACAGACATTTAAATAAATGTTTACTAACGAATTTCTTTACACACATTCTGCTTCCTTTTTAAATGCCGATTTCGTCTACCCATTTCAAGATTTTGTATAATAACCAAATGATAACCGGATTTTAAAAGAAAAACGCACGTCTTCTAACCTCTAATAATTAGTAGAAGAGGGGGTGGGAGTGGAGACACATCCCACAATAAATAGCATCCGTTTAAGGTACCGACTATCATATGATCACTATACAGAGTCTCACAAAACATGATCCATTCTAATTTTGGATTTATAGTGTTTGCATCGTCTGGTGTTTAATATCGAATTAAACAGAAGGGACGCCGGCCGAAAGTTAGTATAAATAGAAAAATAGTGTAAAATTAGGAAATGTAATATGCAAGTAGAAACTAGAGCACTAATGTAGCAACAGCCTTAACTTTGGGCAGTTACAAATGTGCAAGTGCAAGTCAATTGCACATATGCGAAGAGTGTAAATATTTTTGTATACCACTCAATGTGCAGGAACTTTTTTGTAGCATTCCTTGCTCTTCATTGCTAACAAGATACTTTACAAAGTGTGCTAAAATAGGAGCTTTTTATGGAAACCATCATGCACTATCTCATACGCGTACGTTTATGATGGAAACTATCATGTTTCTGCACAAAACAAAAACACTGCTGAAAGTCTTGTTACAAAAATTAATATGATGCCAATCCGGGCTTTCACTTGTAGGTACTAAAGGCCTCGATGTACTAAACAATAAACATAACCTTTTTCAGCTATTTGCTGCTACAGCTTTTTGTTGAAATGCGCATGATTTATTAAATTAAGCCAATGACATTCTCAAGTGTTTTTCTTTGATAGAAACATGACCTTACATAAGAACGTTTCGAACTTTGGCTATCTCTACTTTCTACAACTGATTGAATGTGTATGAAATGAAGTCGCAAAATATGTTATTTTGTATTCAATTGGTTCGGCAGCACTCTAACCTCAGATTTCATCATTTCAACAACCCTGTATGACCTACTATAGCCACTTTCTCTGTCTTAAGACTGTAATTATAATTTAGTCTTTGAATTTAGCACATCAATTATACAACGGAATGTTATTTAGTTTTCAACATTCGCAGAAGCTTGTAAATGTATAATTATGAACAACCGAAAATATAACAATCAACACTAAATTTTATCCATGATAACAGTTGCTGTGATATAAATTAATAATGAACTTTTGATAAGTATTTGTGTTCAGTTACAGTATCTGTATTTACGAAGAAATGGTGTTGTAAAGAATCAGAATAAAAAAAACAATGTATATTAAACAATCAATCATAATTGATAATGTATTTCATTCAATGCAAATACAAACAAATAATGCCTTATTTATACCTATTTTACATAACTTAACATATTTTTAACTATTTTATATCAATAACATAAAACTTTTTTATTTTTTTTTGTATTAATTTGAATTAGCATTACTATCAATCGATACAAAAATAAAAATCAAGAATTGTTCCTGAGGTGCAACTTCTAAACTTATGTACAATTTTCAAATATGAATAGATATAATAAAAATTAATCGAATATATATTAATTTGTAATTAATCATGTTCACCTTCGGGACTTGTAGGTGAATAGCTGGGAGACGAAGGAGAATATCTGGGAGGTTCGGGAGAGTAGACGGGACTAGCAGGTGAGTAACTGGGGGAGGTGGGCGTGTAGGTCGGCGAGGTTGGAGAATACTTGGTGCTGGCGTTGGGCGAGTATTGCGGTGATGTTGGTGAGTAGCTTGGTGAAGTAGGTGAGTAGTTCGGAGACGATGGGGAGTAACGCGAGCTACCTGCAGGTGTGTGCTGTGGCGATGATGGCGAGTAGCTCGGAGACGTGGGAGAGTAGCTTGGAGAGGTTGGTGAATATTGTGGGCTTCCTCCGGCAAAAGATGGCGAGGAGGGTGAGTAGCTCGGTGACGTCGGTGAATATTTTGGTGACGATGGCGAGTAACTTGGTGATGCGGGGGAATATTGGGGAGATGATGGAGAGTAACTAGGCGAGGTGGGAGAATAGCTGGGTGACGCTGGTGAATATCTTGGTGATGAGGGAGAGTAACTGGGAGATGTTGGCGAGTAACTGGGTGAGGTAGGTGAATAACTGGGTGATGTTGGGGAGTAACTAGGAGATGTGGGACTGTATGAGGGGGAAGTTGGTGAGTAACTGGGAGAAGTGGGTGAATAACTTGGTGAAGTAGGAGAATAACTTGGTGAAGTAGGAGAATAACTTGGAGATGTGGGAGAGTAACTTGGTGAAGTAGGGCTGTATGAAGGAGAGGTAGGGGAATATGATGGAGAGGTTGGCGAGTAACTTGGAGAAGTAGGCGAATAACTAGGACTTGTGGGAGAGTATGAAGGAGATGTAGGGCTGTAGCTTGGACTTGTGGGTGAATAATTGGGACTGGTAGGACTGTAATGTGGGCTTGTCGGGGTGTACCCTGGAGAACTAGTAGCGTAACCTGGTGATGCAGGGGTCATTGATGGCGAGGCTATCTGTTGATATGCTGGGCTTGATGGACTGTATGAAGGAGACGATCCTCGAGGTGAAGGTATGAAAGGTGACATGGCCGGAGATTGAGGTGTTGGAGATGACCAAGCTCCATATGCTGGAGACATGCCTGATGCGTCAGAAGCAGCTGATGGTGAAAACGCTGGACCTCCTGGTGTCATTCCACTACCTAACATATCTAAAAAAAATTATTAGTACTACAAACCAAATTATAAACAATAAGTATTTACTTGGAGGTGACCACGCACTTCCTCCGACATAGGGAGTACCGGCTTGATTCCAAGGTGTCATTGCTCCCCCTGGGCTCATACTGGGTGTCGCTACAGATCCAAAGAACATTCCAGAACTCATTATATCGGCTCCATTCGTTTGAGGAATTGGAATTCCCATTTTACATTTTTCGGCGTCCAATAGCAAATCGAAACAGCCTGTACCCATTCTAGGTAACTGGCCCATAATAATATTTTCAGATACCCCTCTCATTGGATCTACTTCGGCATGTGATGCGGCATCCATAAGCACGTCAACAGTTTCTTCAAAGGAACATCTCATAAGGGCACCAGTGTCTTGTCTATTGATGCCGTGACGAGTAATAGCCATAAGATGACCTTTTGCAGTCATAACGTCGCACAACAACGCCAGATGGCGGTAATTTACGTACAACCCATAAAATTGCAGTACAGCATTCATTTCTTTTTCAACCGATTTACGTACAGCCTCAATACCGAGTACCTAAACAGTATGAGTGATGATGCAAAGAAATTTTACAAACAGCACAGCTTACCGAAAAAATTTCACAAATATCATTAGAAAAAGTACGAACTGGATCAACGTCCCTTTCAGAAAGTACTTTCATTAAACTGGTACCGTCAGTTTCCAACAACCATTCAGCTATGGCCTTAAACTCTCCAGTTTCGGTGATAACAATTCTTTTTTTGCTATCCGTTTGAGGCAAATGCATGTACACTTTAGCAATTGCTTCAATTCCCTAAAAATTAAATTTATTAGGAATACTACTTTTCATTTTATATCCATTGATTGAAAAAGGTGATCACTATGGATTACAATCACCAATCTAAATGACTCAACATAGGGTAAGTATGAACTGAGTTAATAGCAATTAATTACAAGCCATTTTTTTTTGTAGCATTGTTACATAACAATATTACCTGTAAAGTCATATCACTTAACATATTTGCTTCAATACATCTCAAAAACATGTCATCATCCATCTTATCAACATCCTCATCCCCACCATCAGTAAACTTTCCATCATCGCTATTCATAATGCGTATACGTAGCACTAACTTCTCAGCATTATCATCATTGAAAATACAATTCAAATCGTCACCAAATCCAGCATTGATCTTTTCCGCGATTTGTTCCATGGTTAATTTCTTATCTACAAAAAACAAGCTTGGCACATCCTCATTAGCTGCAAATGAAAGGTTACCTGTCATGCGTTTGCGATCCAACTCAATACGCAACAGCCAAGGTGAAATCCGTGTCGGATCAAAGTCGGGCATTTCATAGTAGACATTTACGAATTCTTGATCTTCGGGAATAACCGTATTTTGAGGGTCAGGATCATAGTAGATAGCAGTATTTGCGGTCACCTACCAAACACAAATTCTAAATAAGAAAAAAAGTAAATATTGTTTAGATTCAAGGCATTACAAATATGTGCCCGCTTTTTTTATTCAACCCACCCCAATATGAGACAGTATTCACAAAATTATACGTTTTATACTGGGTTTGGAAGTAATACAGAATGCTGTGTTGCCAATTTTCATTCTATAATATGTGTTTACAAGGATATGTTTCTTCTTAAAAATTTAAACAGGACACTGGCGCCATAATTAACTTTATAGTAGAGGAGCTAGCTCGAAATTCACTGAACGAGAGTGATCAAAATTTTAAATGATGGAGTTCCACTTTGGCGCTGCGGTACTTCTTGCGGTACCACTTCTAAACGGTTGTTTTTTGAGAAAATAAGATATACACTAAATGAAAACTTTGATAATAGCTCTTAAAAAAATCTTGAACATTTGATAACTCGGTAAAAGACAATTCTTAGTATGTTTTTCACCAACTTTCTACAGATATAAGCAGGTTACGGTTGGATGAATGAAGATGATTTTTTTACAGACTAATGGTAGGTACTGCCAATGACTATCAGCAGAATAACTACGCCACCACCGAGTGTGAGGCCCTTGCAGTAGTATGGGCTAAATTTCGTGGTTTTATTTAGGAGTCCCATAACATTAGCAACGGATCACCAACCCTTAAGATGACTCCTCACACTAAAATCACCCATAACTTGCTAGATGGGCCCTAACCATACAGTCATATGATATTACATACAAGTACACCCCTGGTAAGCAAAACGTGAGCGCCGACACGTTATCCATTATCAGACGATCGATTTTAGCATACTCTGATAGGCCAAAGTAGAACTTAATCGGTTAAAATTTTGATCACTCTCGTTCAGTGGATTTCGAGCTAGCTCCCCTACTATAAATCCACCACAGGAGAACCCTATCCCAAAAAACCTAAATAGAAATTCAAATTCCCTCCCATACTCTTCACCCAACTACTTCGAAGACCTACCCCAGGAATTTGAGAAATACTTGATAGCGCCCCTTATAGCATCCGGTACCACATACCATACTAAAAATGAAAAAGAAACCATAACTGCCTTCTTTTTCTCTCTTTTCAGATAAGCGCGCACCGGAATCCACCTGAAACCGCCACCTTCACCAATTCAACAATGACCACGAACGACACCCCTATCATGACGACCCACAATGGACCAAAGACACGTGCTGATACTTGCACAATACCGCATAGACCAGATCATTACGGTGTATACAGGGTGGCATTGAGTAGGATAACATGGTTATCTTTGATATTATTATACTTACAGATTCGGTTAAATTGGCAAAGTTGTGTACTTTTTTATGCTAATGGATATTCCGATGTGATATTTTGAAAGAAATAAATCGTTTCGTAGATAATTGGAAAAAAGTGAATATCAACATCTTTTAAAAGTTCAAATATTTTAGTAACAAAGAGAGCTATTAAAAAAAGTATCAAATAAAAGTTCGATGGGAGAAAGATAATGGGTGTAGAAAAATTTTTTCAAAATGACGGTTTTCGAGATATTGACATCAACTTCCTTATTTTAAATGGACGCCATAATGAATTTTTACGTCACTCGATAGAGAAAAAAATTATAAAACCAGTGATACTAAACACTTTGTATTTTATTTGGGTATCAAACTTGCATTTTTCCCTCGAAGTTTACAATGTATTTCTTATGGCAATAATTCCATGGCCCTGTTGATGGTGACTATGTGAGACAATAAACGAATGAATTTGGTTTCAATCATAATCAGGCATCGAATTATTGCCATAAGAAATACATTGTAAACTTCAAGGGAAAAATGCAAGTTTTGATACCCAAATGAAATACTAAGTGTTTAGTATGACTGGCTTTGTAATTTTTTTGTCTATCGAGTGACGTAAAAATCCAATTTCGCATGAATTTGATGTCAATATCTCGAAAACCGCCATTTTGAAAATTTTTTGTCTACACCCATTGAATTTTACAACTTTTATTTAAAACTTTTTTCGATTATTGCTAAAATATTTGAACTTTTAAAAATGGCGATTTGCACTTTTTTCCAATTATCTACGAAACTATTTATTTTTTCAAAATATTGCATCAGAATATCCATTAGCATTAAAAACTAAAAACTTTGCCAATACTGAATCTGTAAGTATAATAATAACAAAGATAGCCATTTTATCCTACTCAATTTAAAAGATGGATAGCTACCAATCAATTTAAAACACCCTGTCTAGAACTCTCCAAATGTAGTTTATAATAGAGATGTAATGGAGGTTCAATTCCGATTCCGAAAGAGCGGAACTTCCGATTGATTTTGCACCTTCCTCAACCCGTGCCTTCGGTTGCCTTTTCACTTGTTATTTTGTTCATTAAATATAGTTTGCTTCTTTTCGAGTAACTTGATTTGATTTATTTACATACACGGTGTCCATTTTTTGAGTGCCAGTATGGGGATCTCGCTTAACTTAAGAGATAGAGAGTTGGTAAATGAGGAAAAATTGCGAATTGTTGTGGTGAATAATAATCTGAAAAGAACTTTAAAATAGCTTCAGTAGTTTTAAAAATATCGCAAAATTTAATTTTTTCATGGTAAAGTAATCGTACTAGACATTAATAATTAACACATTATTTAGACACTTTTTAATGGAGATTTCGAATATGGCATCCCATTTTTTAAAACTTTTAAGATGACGGAGAAACACGTAGCAACTTTAGTTTTTCTTATGGGGCTGTTTTAAATTTCGACATTTTGGGATTACGTCTTTTTTTCTCCCTACAACGATATATCACACATGGTGGTTCAGTATCACATTTTTCCTAAAATTACAATTTTTAACTTTTTGGGAAGAGCTCCTTGGAAAAACAAAACGTTCTTTTATTGTGAACAAGTCTGACAGTTTGATCCATCTGTCAATTTTCATCTGAACAGAATTGAACCTTCGTTTTGCAAGAAAATTATAATTTAAATTAGAACAAAATACATAAGCATAAATAAATAATATTTTCGCAATAAAACTAGCCCAAACGTAAATGGCACTGCATGAAATAAGTCAACCTTTTGTTCACAACAAAAGAACGTTTTGTTTTTGCAAAGCATTCTTCGCAGAAAATGAAAATTGTAATTTTAGGAAAAATGTGATACTGAACCACCATGTGTGATATATCGTTGTAAAGAGAAAAAAAGACGTAATCTCATAATGTCAAAATCCAAAATGGCGCCCATAAGAAAAATTAAAGTTGCCACATGTTTCTCCGTCATATTGAAAGTTATTAAAAACAGGATGCCATATTCGAAATCTCCATTAAAAAGTGTCTGAATAATGTATAGTTAATTAGAAATGCCTAGTACGATTAGTTTACCATGAAAAAATTATAAAAGAAAACCAGAAATGTTTGTTTTTTTGCGATATTTTCAAAACTATTGAAGATATTTTAAATATCTTTTCAGATTATTATTCAACACGAAAATTAGCCACTTTGCCCTCATTTAACGAAATTTCTATCTCTTAAGATAAGCGAGATTCCCATAGTGGCACTCGAAAAATGGACACCGTGTATAAGTACCGTTTAAGATGTGACATGTTTCTTTTGCCTGCGATTACAGATCCGATTGCGGTTCCGATAAACCAAATTTAAAAACTCCGCTTCCGAATTCAGTTCCGATATAAGCACTTCCGTTACATCCCTAATTATTCATAATAGTACAAGATCCTACATAAGGTCAACCTTCGCTCATCTGTTTACACAGTGAAATACGTTTTTTTTTAGCAAAATCTTAATATGTACACAAACACATTGTAAATGGTTGCCTAAAAAAAGACTACTCTTTAATTAAAATTAATGTAATTAATATTTCTGTCTGCTTCTATTACATGCGCACTCGCTTACATTCATGCCTGCACCACGATCAGCTGTTATGATGTGGCCTTCTGTTTCACATGAGACAATACACATGTTTCTCTCTCGTGCGCAACTTAAAATTGTGTTCAGTATGATAGAGAAGGACGCATCAGCGTCACAGCTGATCGTGATGTACGCACCGATGTAAGAGAGAGTGATAGAAGCAGAGAGAAATAATTACATTAATTTAAATTAAGGGTCCTCTTGACTAAATTTGTTGCGAACTTTTTCTATTATTCACCCCCACAACAATTTTTCATTTTTGTGTTAAATAAAGTTTCAATTATTAAGCGGCAGAGCAAAGCGATGCAAGCTTTATAGATGCGTCAATGGTGTCAATCTGTCCATGAACACGATAATTGTCAAACGCTTGAACCGATTCGGTTCAAACTTTGCACAGCCGACGTATATACCACAAGAAGTAAAATTGTAAAATGAGTCAAATCCAATTACTCTGTAGAGTCACGCCGAGGTGCTCTGCCGCTTTTTTAGATCCGCGTTACAGGTTTATGTTACCTTTTGTATCGCGTTTACTTCATGATCAGATTACTGTAAATTAAATGCCAAATTTCTAAATTTTTAGTAGCATTGTTCAATAGTTTCCTAAAATCAGATCTAAAATTTCTAATGCTAATGTGATCCATTTACAAGGATACATGTAATTGTACTTATGTATCCTCTTAAAAGACTCTTATCTGTATTTAGTATGTTGACAAACCTCTTGAGCACATCATTATAGTATGGGTTTGAAACTCGGATCATAAGTGTTATATTTGGTGTTATCACAAGTACTTATAATTGATATTGTTGGTGGATTTTACTCCTCAAGATGGAAATTCACAACTATAACATAAAAACACTTACCTTTCGTAGGGTGGTGTGTTCCAATCGACACAGTACGTTCTTTGCCTTTTCTGCATCACGTGCAGCGACTCCAGTTAGGAAGACAGTTAAAGATGGAGCTTTGGGTTTCTTCGAAATGTTGATAATTTCTTTCAGTCGAGGTACACCAAGGGTTACGTTCTTGGAAGATACTCCAGCAAAATGGAAAGTATTCAAGGTCATCTGAGTGGCAGGTTCTCCTAAAGACTGCGCGGCCAACGCACCGACCATTTCTCCAGGGTTCGCCTGTGCTTGTTGGAATCGAGTCTCGATTTCACCAATTAACCATTCAAATGCTTCCGTGCTTAATCTGAACTCTTCCGAAACACATTTTGTACACAACGTAGAGCGCACTAAACATTGGAATAGTAAAGTGGCATTTTCGTTAGCTTGTTTAGATAGACGATCGTCTCCGGCGACTATAATACACTTCTGCAATAACTCTCGAACACCTTGTATGACACGTAAAGGTGAAAGATCCGTCGGAGCCCTTTTGTTAATGTGGAAGATTTTTTGAACGTTCCAAATCATTCTTTGCAAATTGCAGGGCAGTACAACCTTAGACTCGCCACTAGGGAAGATTTGTCTCAACGCTTCGCGATCCTTCTGAAGCTGCTCCCACTCCCTTTCCAACTCGGAAATAACCTCACCAGATCCCATGAGTTGTCTGCTGACATCCTCGTTGAAAATTCTCCGTAAATACCTCTCATTGCTAGGATCAAATCTAAATTTCCTTTCAAATGCCTTATTACTCAATTTGACAGTGGGTAAAGTCTGAAATTCGACCATTTCTCCACACAAACCGTCTTCTCCATATCTCAACTGAATTAGCTGACCTACTGAATTACGAACAGTACCATCGTAATGCACCATTACAGACTCCATAGCTTTAATGAGACGACGTTGAATATATCCGGTTTCTGCAGTTTTTACGGCAGTATCGATAAGACCCTCACGACCTCCCATAGCGTGAAAATAAAACTCTGACGGCGTCAAACCGGCAAGATACGAATTTTCCACGAACCCTCGAGACTCAGGACCGTAATCGTCTTTGATGAAATGCGGAAGGGTACGTTTTCGAAAACCGAAAGGAATACGTTTTCCTTCTACGTTTTGCTGTCCCACACAGGCAATAACCTTCAACAGGTGATTAATTTACATCGCTAGTTAGTGATTTAGAAAATACCTGAGAAATGTTAATATTCGATCCTTTGGATCCAGCCACCACCATAGCTTTTAAGTTGTTGTATTCAGTTAGGGATTTCTTAGCAGAACCGCCAGTTTTGTCACGAGCGTCGTTCAATATCCTATTTACTTGATTCTCGAAAGTCTGTCGCAAGGTATTACCGGGGGTAGGTTCTAACTCCATATTGTGAGCTTTTTGGATGACTTCTATTACATCTTCCTTGGCTTTCTTGATTGCCTTTTGAATTTCCAAATATGTTTGAGGATCCGCAATGGTATCACCAATACCAATACTGTGCCCTATAAAAAATTACATTTCAAAAAAATGTAATTTGCTTTCTCAACTTCCACATCCATGAAAACAATTACAGACAACAAGTTTTCCTATTGTAGTAATGTCCCATATACGTATACAGACAGGGTGAATGAGATTTTTAGGTAGGTATACTTGTCAGTACCGTCCCGTCGAGGTCATGAAAGGACAGTGGTTGACCGGGCCGGGACAATGCAGGGCCGGGAATCACATACGAAAAAATAATAAACGAGGCACTTTATAGTCTGTTTATTCAGTCTGACTGAGGTAAAATGTTTTTTGGAGTCACCGACAAATCTACCATTGTTCTCACTGCACAACGCAAGTGCAAGGCTGCAAGCCATCCTATCTTTAGCTTTACCCACTCTACCTGCTTTCTAAACGCTAATTAATGAATTCATTGTTGTAGAATGTAGACTTTTAGTGGACTAATAAAAGAATATATTTTTTTTGTAAATATGAGTATGAGTATTTTCAATTTTTTGGGCCGGGTATTATGATTGCATGACCAGGCCGGGACGTTCTACGGAACGGCACTGATACTTGTGTATACAGTGTGTTCAAGATAATAGTGAACATTTAATGTAAAGATATCAAAAAACAGATAACACTTCCTCCATAAAAAAGGTTTATTACATTTTTAACATTTTAATAATAATAATAATAATAATATTTATTGGTGGTTTTTATACAGCAAATATTTCCACACGTCACAGTAAGGAAGTACAATTGTCACTTTATTGTTCGGAGCCATTAAACTTGTAGTTCAAATTTTGGTGTAATAATAAAAAAATGTTACTCAATACAGTATGTTCTTTGTTCCGTTCATATAAAAATATAAACTTCGTGATGGTTAAATATGGATAAAATAAAAAACAAAAAAAATTTCCGAATTTTTAAAACACCATTTTCCTAAACCCGAAAATACGCAACTCTTTCTAGGTGAACCAACTGTGTATTTGATAGTTTCTGATTTCCCCATGCTGTTTATTCTTATCTTGGGCACACTACAAATATGGTAAAACGAAAATGTTGCAAATTATTTTTAGTTTCATGTGATCACTGTTAAAGGGTGAAACCTAGGCCCCTAGACTACATGAAATGAATATACCGAAAACAGTACTATCATAAAAATCAGGAAATTTGAAAGAGAAAGACTCCTATAATTTATTGCGCCATAAGGCGCCTTAGTACGACTTTATAACTTGGCCTGTAGTAAGTATCAGCACGTTAAGACATGTATGTATTCGAGTATAACGTTAATATGATTTTATTTCATTTCCCTTATTTTTAAATTATATTGCAGGTATAATAAAAAATACTATAAGAAATGTGTCCTACCATTAGACTCGTTGCGCGTGCTTTAAAGACTTGATTATACACTTGTCTCGGGAATATACTATTTTCACTCTTTTGAAACTAAATTTTTAAATTTTTTTGGTGTTATATTTTGGCAGAGGATTTACTATGCTATCTTTTCATATTAAAACATGCAGGGTGTTCCGTTTAAAAAAATGAGATTAAATCGGAAAACTTTTGTACCTGACCCGTGCATATATGTACTTTGAAAAGCGTAGATTCAAAAATTACTTTTGTAATAAAAATTTTTTTAATTTTTCCCTGCGTCTCTTAAATGAGCAAATATTTTCAAATTTTACCAGATTTTACCATTTTAAGTTTGACTCAACACATGATGCCTACAAACAATACTTTTTTGATAGCACTAAGTACTAACAATCAATGAAACTTATACCCTATAAAAGTGAAAATGGGACATCCTGTACATTACAGAATATAAACATGGATGGTATCGTAACAATAAATCCTTATAGTAGGGGAGCTAGCACGAAATCCACTGAACGAGAATGATCAAAATTTTAACCGATGGAGTTCCATTTTGCCCTATCAGAGTATGCTAAAATCGATCGTCTGCCGCCTCAGGTCATACGACTTAAGGCGCTGCGGGTACTTCTTGCGGTACCAATTCTGAAAGGTTGTTTTTCGAAAAAATAAGTTATACACCAAATGAAAACGTTGATAATAGCTCTTAAAAAAATATTGAAAAAAATCGCGCGCATTTGATAACTCCGCAAAAAAACAATTCTGAGTCGGTTTTTCACGAACTTTCTACGGATATAACTCGGTTACGGTTGGACGAATGAAGCTGATTTTTTTTACAGACTGATGATAGGTACTACTAATGACTAAACGGTGTTTCGTTTTTAAATTTTTTTTCTAATTACAAGATTATCTTATTATCTTAACATTATAAGATATCTTATAATTAGAGAAAAAATTTAAAAAAGAAACACTCTCATAGTCATTGGCTGTACCTATCATTCGTCTGTAAAAAAAATCAGCTCATTCCTTCCAACGGTAACCTAGTTATATCCGTAGAAAGTTCGTGAAAAACCGACTAAGAATTGTTTTTTTACGGAGTTATCAAATGCGCGCGATTTTTTTAAATATTTTTTTAAGAGCTATTATCAACGTTTTCATTTGGTGTATAACTTATTTTCTCGAAAAACAACCTTTCAGAATTGGTACCGCAAGAAGTACCCGCAGCGCCTTAAGTCGTATGACCTAAGGCGGCAGACGATCGATTTTAGCATACTCTGATAGGGCAAAATGGAACTCCATCGGTTAAAATTTTGATCATTCTCGTTCAGTGGATTTCGTGCTAGCTCCCCTACTATTAGCAATGGATAACTTTCTGACTCTGATTTTTAGAAAATGTCAAACATAATTTAGGGAATCTGCTACTAATGCAAAACTACTGTAAACTTTCTTCAACTTTTGATTCGATACTTTGGTATTGGTCTCTAAATAAATAATCTCTTTTCGAAGATATAACATTTTTCTGCATCTGTTACCTAAGACCTTAACAATATTATACCATTCTGAAATTGATAATTTTAATATTTTCTCAAGTAGGGCGAAAATGTTCAAATTTTGGTTTTACTATTTACCCAAAAAAGGTCACATGACGCCTATAATGACAATGATAACACAATTATGGAGATACCCTATAAAAAGTTCCAAAAATGGAGGGTGGTTCACATTAGTGACTAACCATTGGGATCTCTGTAAGTTAAATAGGGGTAAGGTTGTCCCTTTTTGTGACTAAAAAAACGCATATGAAATTTTTTTAAAAATCTTTGAGATAACTGAAATATCACCGAAAAACTGAACCGAACAATTGCAAATGTCAAACTGTTAGTTTAAACGGAGGAGAGACTGTATTTGTTATCAGAATTTCCATACCATGCTAGATATAGAACCTATAAGCCAGTACTTTTCCAATTTCTTTTATAATCAAATTATCAAAAAAAAAATGAAACGAATTATATACCATAATGCCAAAAACTTGCGTCAGTTCAGGTATCTATTAAAAGAATTAGACCAGAGCACACGATACACACAGCGAACATGATAACCAAATGTAACATATTTTTGTAGCACACAAAAAATATACCTACCCGTAAGTTATTTAAACATTACCTTCTAATAACAGCCAGTTATTTACAACAGTCTGAATGTTACCATAGAATCTTCCGCATACTTCATGGCCCAATTCTAACATACAAATATGCAATAAAGACCCTGCCGAAGTACCCAAGGTTTTTTTGCATAAAATTCCCATGACCAACTCCCCGTGTTCGACCATTACCTAAAATAATACAATAAAGTAAGTTTGTACCGACTAAATTGTGAAACTGCAGATATTTTTTTAACAATTTTACTATTACTTTTTTACAATGTGTTTACTCTACATACTCTATACTCCATCATACATTTTTAAAATACAATAATGAAACTATATCATCAAAATAAATGCTCATTGAATATAATGCGGTGTCTTGAAAATGAATTTGAAACAGCTAAAGTGCGCATGCGCAGAACCAATGTACATATTATATATTTAAACTTGAACATAAACACCAATAGAATGAATGATTCAGGCTCCAGTAACCATTTTTACTGAAATTTTGACAGGTTTTCTAGAAAAGACAAATACAGGTTGTAACTAGCAAATATGGAAAAACAATGAAAGGCAAAGGCAACCAACACAAGCTTTTTTCCCAAACAAAACAACAAAGGATGCCCACACTGCTGCACAAGTCCCTAAATCTGCGTTTTTTTTAAATACATAGAGAGACGATAAATAACATGTTTGCCTAAGCTTTTAGGAATTGTTCAACTGCAACAAACACAATATTTGCTGCGGCTAGTATAGATACCATCCGCACACTTGCGATTCTGCCCAAAAGTATGTCAGCTCTTCCTTTTACATTTAAGAATATGTGTACCCACTTTGGTTCCTGTCGGTTCAGGCGGAAATGAGAGTGTAGACAAACGAACATAATCAATATTTTGTTTAATTCGGATTCTGGTGCTTCAGAACGTGTATTTCCATAAAAAAAGTGGAGTATCATTTTTTACCTCAATGCAAATCCTCCCTTATTAACATGCGGGTGGTAACAACGAAGGAACTTTTAGATTTGAAATCATTCAGATACGCGCACACACGGCATAAGAAAAATACTTCACCTAAAATCCAATAAACATATTCCAAAGACAAGTTGCACATAACTTTCAAGCGAATTGTTACACATGCACACAATTTTTTTTTCAAATCGAAGCTTAATTTTGGATTCCTTATTCTCAAGGTCAAAAAAACCCAGGTACCAAATTTCATCAAGATCAAAATATTGTACACCCGTGGTTAGGTGTGTGCCATCTTGGCGTATAAGTACGAACAGTGTTTACTCAATCAGAGAAAGCATATCCGAAAAGCTTTTTGGATGACTGCTGAAAGCCTAGTTCTAAAATGAAATTTTTTGAGCGCTTGTTTTGGTCCCATCTACCATCAAATTTGTTTCAGACATGCTTACCAGTTACACCACATACACAGGGATTTCCAATGATGAGCCGAGTCTTATTAGATGACAAAGACAAAAGAATGAAAAATCTATTTGCTTTGGTAAATTTTGGGATGAGAGATAGAATATATTGGGTTTTTGATTTCGATTGATCAACATAGGAGAGCAAAAGCAACAGTCAACAATATAATTTTTTAATAACTTGCAACAAAAGTCTGACTATATCCACCAGGTAGATAAACCTTCCACAATTTAAACTTATATGGTTTAACAGCTCCCGCAGTTATCTATAACCACACTTGCTCATGAAACCAATTCTCCATAATGTCCATTCTGTATCAATTGCTTTTCTGTGTTAACAGTCGATAGTGTCGACCGCTTAATTCTTCTGCTGTACTTGTGACATTTTCAAATCTTCTTCGTTTTGATCATCTTTCTTAATAAGTAACTTTCGTATTTTCATGGAGGCGGAACCAAAAAAGTAATCAGCTTCCTATAGAGTAAGTTTGAACGGACCTTGCAATCACGCGTAGTTTTAATAGAAATGAATATGTCATTCACAAAAAAGTAGACGCCCCTCGCTGAGGTCCCTCCTAGAAAAGCGAACTTGATATCATTGAATCAAGTGCGTTATGTACAGAATTCTCCTACTTTCATTTCCCATGTAACAATGAATTCAGTTCATTCTTGGATATCCTGCATAGGATAAGGCAAGTGTCGAGTATGGGCATCCGCAGAATGACACTCTTCCTTTATTGCATGAATCATTTTCATCAAGATTGAGAATTAAAAAAAATAAGATGGAGTACCTCCCTAATAATAAACACAAAGAATTTATTTGTATAAAATATTTGCATTATCAAAAAATAGAAGACAATCAGCAGATGAAATTTTGGTAATTTATTAAACACAAACAATTTTGAATAACTATTCACGGACCACACTTTCACAAGGATTATAAATATATAAATCACCTTGGTATCCCCAGGTGATATCCACTTGTATGGGCCATCATCTTCCTCATCAGGATGTGTCGAATGAGTTCGTATCATATTTACATTTCCAGGAATAATTAGCGAAAATATCTGTTTACCGGTCCACAATGGTTGTGGTTTCAAAATAGCCGGTCGTGGCATCTTTCCATCCCAAATTGGCAGGAACATGAGAAGATTCATCATTTGTTCTTTATTAATAAAAACGTCTCGTTTTGTCATTTTACGAATTGCAGTGAGGGTGTCCTGTACAATACCCATAACCGGCTTATTTGCTTGTGGTGTTATAATCTAGAAAATGGAAAGATTGTGATATACAAAAAATTGTCCTCGAAATTGAGTTACTTGTCGAGGAGTGATGTGCAGATTCTCCACTTCGGCTCTTGTTTCCATACTTTGAGGAACATGCAAATTCATTTCGTCCCCATCAAAATCGGCGTTATAAGGTGAAGTACAACTTAGGTTCATTCGAAATGTTGACCATGGCAAGACTTTAACTCTATGACCCATCATACTCATCTTGTGCAAAGTAGGCTGTCGATTGAATATTACAAGATCGCCATCGCGAATATGCCGTTCCACTCTACAATACACAAATATTAAATATAGAAACAACTTGATAATACATACTTATAGCCACACTGCAGATGCAAATCGGACGGTTTTGGATGAAAACGTAAATCGATTCTTTCCCCATTATCTCTAACAATATACTTTGCACCAGGATATTGAGAGTTTCCTCGCTGGACTAACTCCAACATTCTAAAAACAAGGATGACTTCCTTATTTGAAAATTTACAAAAATTACATACTTGTCAAAATTAAAAGGGGTTACAATTTCGGGAAATGTAAGATTCTGGGCAATACTCCTCGGTATACCAACTTGATCGATTCTCAAATTTGGATCGGGCGTAATTACAGTTCGTGCTGAGAAATCAACACGTTTGCCCATAAGATTACCACGAATTCTACCTTCCTTGCCCTTTAAGCGCGCCTTTAATGCTTTCAGAGGTTTTCCTGATTTTTGCATCGCTCTGAAATAAAATTGTGAGCCGGAATGAAAATTTAAATCGATCACCTACCTTGGCATACCGGGCATATCGTTATCAACCAAGGTCGCCACATGAAACTGTAACATTTTTATATTTTCGGATATGACATGGGCAGGTGCACCAGTCGACTCATTCCTTTGTAACTCATTATTGGATTTTATTATATCTGCTAGTTTATGGGTCAAATCGTCTTGATTTTTTGCAGAACCATACATGACTACCGCGGGACGAACTGGAAGTGGTGGTACGGGGAGAACTGTAACGATCATCCAGTCGGGTCTTGCAAATTTGGGATCCATACCCAATATAAAGCATTCTTCATCTGTAAATTAAATTTAATTAATTGGGCAAATTAGTCTAGGGTACAGTGAAGGTCAAATCAAACTGCTTGATTCGAAATATCAGACCAAACAGATTTTGTTTGCGCCTATGAGTTTTCCAAAATGTTCGAGCCTGTGAAAAAGTGGCCGAATTTGCATAAATCTAGCTCTTCGACTCCCCCTTGAAGTTTTCACATCTATCATGCTTTGTGTTTATCCTTCTACTCTACTATTACAAATGCAATCAAACCATGAGTTATTTATCAATACAGGGTTTCCTCATAAGGGTTTTATGAAGGCATCTATTTAAATGAAACAAGAAGGAATGAGTCCCTTGTGCATTGATTGCCACCCGAATACAATCCATACTGGGGGGACCTTTAAACTTAATGTACGGGATGTGTGTATGGTAGTTCGTAGGAAAGAAGGAAGAAGGGTGGGGCATCACACACTTGTCAAAAATCTCTTTATCCCCTATTTTTTATTGCATTTTTGGATTCTAGGTAAAATTTCAGTTCTTTTGATACCCGTATGTCGATATCTTCCATTTATGGTTTTTAAATTATTTTGACTTTATGAAAAAAAATGGCAGATGTAGATGGTACCTTGATAATTGATTACTTGAAATGGTTATAGTCATGGCAACCCATTTTTATCAGTGTATAGAGAATGAATGGGGCTTTCTTTTAGTGTACTTAAAAAAAAGTTAAGTTGCGTACAACCGCACCTATGGAGATCCAAATTTAAGAAACTTCAAAGTCTAAAAACTCAGTTTTTTTTAATGAAGTGACCATTTTCTTACTATTGCATTAGATAGAGAATCAAAATTGGCATATTTTGATATTACATGTTCCTATAGCTATCTTTAACAGTTTCTGATTTATTCCCATTTCATTGAATTGATGCCATTTTTTTTCGCATTTTCTTTTCACTAATTGGCCATGATTGTATAACAATCGAATTTTAAACAAATCAAGAGAAGGATTCTTTAATATCGTTGATTCTAGTCTAAATAATTCATTAATAAGTCATTTATTAAGGATATAGGACGGAAAATTTTTGAGAAATCTAGACAGAGTCGTTCAACTGAATTTCTTAAACAACGTATAAGTCTGGAAATTCAGAAAGGTAATGCCATATCTATTCTAGCAACAATTCCATACCAAAAATGTTTCAACGAAGTTTTTTATATTTTGCATTGAATTTATTTTGTTAATCTTGCATTTGCAATTCAATTCATTTTTTTTAAGAGGCATCAGGACTCCGTATATTAACTGCCTAAACATCTCTACGTTGTCCCTATAAATTTAAGGTATGACAAAGGTATTTTACTGATGTGTTGATTGATATCGATTCATCAAGAATGCCGCCGTGCTTCTCTAATGCCATTTTTTTAAAAAAAAGCGAAAAAAACAAAATATACGGCGTTAAAGTTGCGACATTTTAGTGATTTTTAAAGATCAATTTCTTCTTAAAAAAGCAAAAAATGAAAATTTTACTATTAGAGAGGCATACATTAGCTCTTTATTTATTAGTATATTGAAAAAGATCATTAAAAAAACAGTCAGTTTTTGTAATTTTATGGGGAGAACGGAAGCACTGTTTTGCCAATATTTAACTCTGTATCTTAGCGTCACATTACGGCAAATTACCGAACTTTTATATAGACAGAGAAATTTGTGAGACAAATGCATTCATGGGAGGTGCTAAAAATGCAAGGAAATTTTCTTATCTTTTAACTGTGATTATGTGTCGGAAACCTTTCGCTCGCTTCATTTGCGTCCTAGGCAATTATTACATGGGACACAAATGTGAGACAATTCCGTCCAACGATAAAAAAAGTAGCATTGAAATTATTCGAAATTTATCGTTGGTTAGCACAATTTTGAACCCTCAAATTAACAACAATTTTTATTAAAAGTAAACAGTAGGTATTTTTGTTCTTCAGTGCCTAATTTGCACAAAGGTAGTAGGTAGGTATGTAATTAAGGTTGGTCTTTCCGTCAGAATGTTTGCAATTTTTTTGCTCCCAGAATTAGGAGTAATAAACCACCCGGCCTACGAAAGAGTATAATTATTTTTACATAGAAGTAACGCCGTAGCGGATAAGTATTTGAAGTGAGAAATTGAAAGTGTGCAGCATCCAATGTATGGGGATGGTACCGATTTCGGAAATACATGCTGGGGACGTGAGCCGCCATAGGCGTGCGCTGGTATATTTTCCTTATTTCTTAATTCTTTATAAAAATTACTGCGATTTACAATATATTGTATACTAGTCCAGTCAATCTATTCCGTTTCCCCATAAAAACCTTCATATAAAATTTCTGTCAATAAAAAAATAACTGAGTAGATATTCTGCTGATTAATATACCAAAAAATGGATCTCCAAAAATGACCACTAATATTGTAAATTTATTAAAAACGATTGAAAATTCACAACACAATGCTTCGAACACTGATAGTTGCACTTTACCTCGAGGTAAATATCATTTTGTAGAGAAATTAATTGTTTTTAAATTTGATGTGGGAATCTGTCATACATCTCTCTTTTTATGTTAAAAATTGTGGAAACTTTCCATTAGTTTCCAACCCCGATTACACCATAAAGCGTCAGAGTCGACCCAGTCTAACCGTGAACAAGCTGAAATTTGGTAAATAAGTTGATTTTGGAGTACTTAAAATACCACCAAACCCCATAAGTGAACAGCCGTGTCTGTCACCTCCAAACAATCCTAGAAAGGGATGAAAATCGGACTTTTTTTTAGTTTTTTGTCAATATCTTGAAAACAACGCTATTTGCAAAAGAATGTGAAGATAGACGAATGAAAGCGTATATAGGTATGGGTGCTGTACCTACCAGTGGCGAAGTTATAATGTTAATTTTGGCATTTTAAAAAATAAATCTAATTTTTTATTTTTTTTGTGAAATCTAGAGAAATTTCTCAAAAATATTTAGGTAAAAACATTCATCTCGTGCCTATTTTCATGAAATAAAAAATCATAACAGTGGCGTAAGTACTAATTTTTTTAAGTCATTTTTAAATATGTACATTAAAACGATAATATATTGTAGTCAGTAGGTATCTATGCAGTGCGGTAGGGTAACTTATTTTGAGATAGTTAAACTAAAATAAGTCCCGTTTAGGCAAATGAATACTTAGCATAGCATAAGTTTTTAATTAGTTAGGTACCTGATTAGATATTTCTGTATATTAAATTATTAATTCGTCAGAATCTTTAACTGTCTACAATTCTACAAGCTAGGGTACAATTTAGACGAATTTTTCGCCACAAGCATGCTTTTTTGCAAACGCCTGACGAACAGTTGCAAAAAATTTGCTTTAGAATCCCTTCGGGATCCATGTCTTGGTCCACTCCTGGGCTGGTAAGGTATTATTCAACCATATTTGAACTTAAAAATGAAAATCATCCGGGTCAGTATTACTTTCCAGCTGTGAGGCCTTTGTAAAGAAAGTATAATGAAACTATACAGATGAATTGAAGCGATATAGTCAAATAAGAATAAACTTGTAACAAATAAAGCAAACGAGCTCCTGGATCACTATAAACATCTTTTCCTTGGGTGATGATAAACAAAATAATGAAAACAGAATTGGAAAATTCGAAACCGTTCGGGAGTTATCTTGTCCACATATGGACGGGCGGACAGACAGAAAGTCCAAAATTCTGAACTCGCTAGGAGCTTTTTAATAATAATTAATCTTTTCAAAGAAAATCTTGTTAAAAAGTCCTAAACGCATGGTAATTGGTACTGAGCTGCCTTTACAGTCGGTGAAAGCTATGCTAAATTAGAATCCTTATTTTAAATTTTGCTGTACTACATATTGCTGGTTAAGAACGTCAAGGTCCTTAATCTGGCATTTGTTATATTTCTTCCTGGTCTACAGTATAAACAAAATAATATTTCCTATGTTGAAAAGCCCAGATGTGGCGCCGCATCCAGAAATGGCGTGCATGGCAAAAATAACATTTTTAGAGGTCCTAATTTATGTTGAAATTGTTAAATATCCGTGACTTTATTTGGTTATCAATTGCCTGGCCGTAACATATATAAATTTTGTTTGGCATAGTGACTTAAAGAACTAAATATTTTTGAAAAATTTGTTTTTATTTCAATCAGAAATTAAAAAATTAAAGTCTTTTTAAAAATAACCAAAATTAATATCATAACTTCGCCACTGGTACAGGAAAATATATAGGTAGGTTTTATAGGAAAATATATACCTACCTATATATGCTTTAATTTTTCTATCTTCATATTTTTCCCTAACTAGCTTTGATTTAAAGATACATATTCCCAAAAAACAACAATAGGCATTTTCAACCCTTTAAGGGTTTTTTTAAGGGTTAAGTGTGGGTAGGGTTTGGAGGTATTTTATGGATCTCAAAACATGCGTTTACCCTGATCGAGTTTCAAAGGTGATCTTTCGATCCCGCTTTCCAATAAATCAATTCATGGCGAAAATTTCATTGCAGTTCTCTATATACAGCAGATCCTCAGAGGGAATCAAACTCTAACTCGATATCTAGTAATAACCCAGGCGTTAGTGGTGCGGGAACCACAAATTGTTCTTTTACGTTCCAAATAAATAATTATGGTCAAATTTATGTTGGGGTTTTTAATTAATTGTTTGAAGCTGTCAAATTTGGTGTATAAATAACAGTCCGATAAGTGTTGCTTAGCGACACTTACGGACTTTAATTGATAGTAATCGAACATCTACGGGTAACGGGTTACGGGACAGTATGAAATACAAGAAATAAATCGAGTAAGTACCTACATATGTGTAAATAATTCCTCATTCAATTGTCTTATCAATGTCACATTGAAATGAACTGACTGAACAACGGAGTAGGTACTATACGCGTGTAAGGTAGGGATAGCACGTGATACTTTATCACTTTTAAGCTCCACCTTTACTGGCAGTTTCGAATACTTCGTCTCCTACCGCTGCGTCCCTTAGAAAGTACTGGAGCAGCTCCCGATTACTCTTAATATTCTTTTGTAGAGCTTTGTATCACTTGTGCTTCAACGGTTTGTAGTGCATAGTACATTTCCAAAATTCATATCATTTCGTTCCAGTGTTCGAATGAATATACGGCAAGCACGTGCCACGATTCTGTCATTTCACCATAAAAAAACAATTAAATTTCAAAATAGGTGAAACCACTGAGTCATTTTTCGATTTTTGAAAAACTTATGTTAACCTATAACAGTATGTGACGGATTAGGGTCACTAGATTTGTTTAAAATTCAATTTTTATAAAATCATGGCCGACTACGAAAACGAATATCCGAAAAAAATAGTGTCAATTCAATAAAATGGGAATAAGTCAGAAACTGTTACAGCTATAGGAACATGTATTGTCAAAATATGCCCATTTCGATTCTTTATCTCATGCAATAGTAAGAAAATGGTCACTCCATTTAAAAAAACTGAGTTTTTAGTCTTTGAAGTTTCATAAATTTGGATCTCCATAGGGGCGGTCGTACGCAACTTAAGTTTTTATTAAATGCACTAAAAGAAAGCCCTATTCATTCTCTATGCACTGAAATAGGTTGCCATGACTACAACCGTTTTCAAGTAATCAATTGTCAAGGTACCATCTGCATCCACCATTTTTTTTCTTAAAGTCAAAATAACTTAAAAACCATAAATGGAAGATATCGACATATGGGTATCACAAGAACTGAAATTTTACGTAGAATCCAAAAATCCAATAAAAAATAGGGCTTGCTATTTAAAATAACGAAGTTACTATCTACTTCCGGCATTTCCGGAAGTGCGGCCATTTTGAAAATATTTTACATCGATTGGGTCTTCAAAGTAACTCCTATGTACAAATTTTCAAAAACCTACCGATTTTACTTTCCCAGAAACGTTTAACTAAAGTTCCCAAAAAAACACCCTGTATAGAAATAGCGGGTTCTGCGGGCGTGTGTGACATCCTACAACAACCATCCTCATTCGTCTCGCGAAATGTATAAATTCTAAATAATATAGGAGCAATCGAACCCGGGCCGCCCATTTTCTACAAATTGTATTCTAACGACATGTCATATGGCATCGTTGTTGACTATAAGAGCCTGTAATGTTAAGTCAAGGTGAGACAAACTATAGTCACCTTCAAATGACATGCGCACTAGAAAATCTCCTTAAGATTGTTAACCTTTGGGACCTCTATTTAGTTTTAAAAGTCGTCGTCAGGGGGAGATGACGGTGACCTCTATTTAGTTTTTAAAGGTGCCATCAGAAGATGACTGTGACCTCTACTTTTCTCAAAATTACCGATAGGGGGCGAAGTCAAATAACTTTCAGTAAAGTCACTAAATATAGAAAGTACCGCAATGCATTGGGCTCGTGTGTTAGAGAGAGAACGCATGATTTTTGCCCAAAAATAGCGGAAGTTACCAGATTCTAGTAACTCTGTATATATTTTTATAAAACATGACAGTTAGGTTATAAAAAATTACAGCTATTCAGATTTTATTTGTCAATTTTTTTTAAGTTGGCAGCAAATTTGCCCAAAAATGGCGGATGATTGCAGTACTTTCTATATCTAGTGACTGTAACTTTCAGAAGTTTTGAAAATCGTCTTATGAAATTTTACACGGAGTTGAGTTAGGATCGACTCGCGACCCTTCTGAGCAGTCGAGACGTGGTCGTGGGCGGCGGGCCGCTGCGTCCACAGACCATCAACAGATGCGTCTTCTAGAATCTAAATGACCCGCGCCAATGAAATCGTTTTTACTAGCCAAATGTAACAGTGTTACAACTGGACGTTGCAACAGGCTCCTTCTATGGCAGCGCCACCCATACAATACGATGGGTCACCTTTTTTTTCGGAGAATCTGAATCTGTTACAAGTATTTCTATAACGTGCTAGATGTAGAAGCTACAGGCTACTACTTTCTTATTTCTTATGGGTGCCATATTGGATGTTTACAGAATGTGATAGAGGACAACAAAAAACAACAAATAAGTGAAAAAAAGACACTTTCAAAACGTGTTGTACTTACACGGAATGTTTTTGCATAGTGATCCTGAAACCCATAATTGAATAATATTAAATTGATACTATTGGTCAAAGATAGGACTAAACGCCATCGAAACGTATAGTAAAAATTGTGAAAAAAGTAACATTTTCCATGTGGTTTTTTGAAATAAAAGTTCCGTAATTTGATTATTATGTTAAAAAAATCCATAATAATATGTTAATAATCATCTACCCAAGCAAATAATGAAAACGAAATGTTATTACCTCCCATATTTTCGTATTTTTCTCTGAAACGGTAAGGAAATTTAGAACAAGCAACAAAAGTTTTTCCTCCTGTAGTCAATTGGGGGACATATGGTATGTTGTCCCTTTAAAAAAAACCCTGTATTGGCTTTTACAATGACCACCAAATTTTTTTGTGATGACAGGTCAACAGACAAAATATGCATGTTCGGATTACTATACACGGTGTCCATTTTTCGAGTGCCACTATGGGGATCTCACTTATCTTAAGAGATAGAAGGTTGGTTAAATGGGGGTAAAGTTGCTAATTTTCGGGCTGAATAAGAATCTGAAAATAAATTTAAAATATCTTCAACAGTTTTGAAGATATCGCAAAAAAACGAAAATGTCTGATTTTCGTTTTTAATTTTTTTATGATAAACTAATCTTAGTAGACATTTCTAATTAACAGATTATTTAGACACTTTTTAATGGAGATTTCAAATATGGCATCCAGAATTTAATAACTTTCAAGATGACGGAGAAACACGTGGCAACTTTAGTTTTTCTTATGGGCGCCATTTTGAATGTTCACATTTTGAGATTACGTCTTTTTTTCTCTTTACAACGATATATCACACATGGTGGTTCAGTATCACATTTTTCCTAAAAATACAATTTTTAATTTTTTGAGAAGAGTGTAACTTATTTTCTCAAAAAACAACCATTTAAAATTGGTACCGCATCAGCGCCTTAAGTCATATGACCTGAGGCGGTAGACGGTCGATTTTAGCAAACTCTGATAGGCCAAAGTAGAACTCCATCGGTTAAAATTTTGTTCACTCTCGTTCAGTGGATTTCGAGCTAGCTACCCTGATCGTTTAATTAGCACGACTATCCCCCAAGCAACGTTAGAATGAATATTTGACAACACTAGAGTGAAAATGTGCTTGATAAATTAATTTTCTTTAATTAATTGTTGACTATTGTTTAGTGATCATTCAATTGATCCACCACTGCTTTTAAATAAATGATATGTGATATGTTACCAACATTATAAATGTTTAGTTGTGTGGGAAATTCAAACTGTCCTCAAACATTTTGGATCACCCGGTATACGGATAATCAAACAAAACACTACTAGGACACTTTTGCTTTCAGAAAATCTGGTACAAATATTAGCTACAAAGAAGTCGTTACTGATTTTTATAAGTATGACTCAATCAACATTTCAAAACTTGATCACATTACAAATATACAACAGGCACTGGTGCAAGTTTTTGAAAATTGAAAGTTTCTTATCAGTGGAATGGTTTAAAAATGTATAAACGCGCGAAAAAATGAGAAATTTTACAAACATGAATATTTACACACTTTCATTCCCTAGGAGCGTTTGAATACCGATTGCTTTGTTGCACATAACAAATTATAATCAAATCAGGCACAGGACAGACCCCTCATAAACACTGTCGCGCTTGAGATATAATACAAACTTGAAACACCCTGTATAGTGTTACAACTTCGGTTACAACATTAAATAAAAATAGCAAAACTTTATTTAGGTCCATGTACTATAAGAGCATACCTGTAATGTGTTTTAAAATTTCCCAAACTCTTTCTGCTGATAGTGGTATCTTTTTCTCTTGCGAGTCTTCATTCACATGCTTCCATTCTGCAGTCAAATCAAGACCAGTTCTACGTATATTTGGTTGGTAACGACCGCATCCACCGTGTCCTTGTCGCTTACCTGTATTCACATTCCCATTACATAACGCTATTACTTAGGTACAGGGATACGAACCTGGATCTTCGCCTTCTTTCCCAACGTCCATTTCGTCACCACCCTCACATATATTTTTACCTTTGCACAGGTCGTACACAAAAGCCAATCGTTTCCTAGGCTGACCTTTTGACTTCATAACGACTTCTTTAATTTTAGGATTATTCTAAAATAATTTTATTAAGTACGTTCGACTGTGAAACGAAAAGTGGAACTTACAGGACTAACTAACAATTTACTACAGTAGAAGCATACACATCTTAATATTTTAATAGTTTTCGTTATAAACCCGACGTGAAAAACAGGCTTGGCTAGGTCAATGTGTCCGAAATGTCCAGGACATTCCGTCATGTTGCCCGCACAAGTTTGACATCTGGAATTTCTATCGATTACTCCTTGTCGGGGGTCCATAAGACCGCCGAGCTTTGGACGGCCCGCTTCCATAGTCTCTGGGAAACGGATGCCACCCTCCGTGACCGACATACGTCGCTAAAAAGAATGCCATTATTTCAAGCAGTTAAAAATCATTTTGGTTTTTCCCCCCTTTGTGGTGCGCCTGCGTTATTTATATTGTGCAAGAAATGTACGTCTCTATTTTATCCCTCATAACTTAACAATCTTTGAAGTGGTGAGAAATTCAATTTCAATTAAGTGGAAGAATTAAACAGAAATCATTTCAACACTTTCCACAACTTAAAGCGCACTTCTACACTTCATTATTTTTGCCAGCGTTTTCCGATAATAGAACCCAAATGGTGTGTATTTTGTTTCATAAAACTTTTGATCGCAAGAAGATGAAAATACTCACTATTTCATCTGGACTGAGGATACCAAATTGTACCCGCTTAACATATCTAAGAGGCGCTTTACTGTCGTTAGCGGCCATTTTGACGGCCACGAACAGATTGCTGAAGCGCAACTTTTCCTACTGCTGTTTTTATTTACAACTGTCACCTCAGATGCGCATGAAACGCATGCGCGTTGGTGGGAGAAATCCACAATATTACGAAGAGACATTGGCGTCGCCTTGGGGGTGGCTCGGATTTTCAAATCCCGCTGCAAATTAGTTCAACAAACCAAAAGGGTCGGGGAATCTGTCATAAAGAGCATGGTTACATTATTTACTATACTAGTTTTCTCATATAGGCAACACCGTCTTAATTACACACACGCCGTTTATGCGTTTCTTACACCAATTAGCACCACCAATTTAATACTGCAAAAAATACTAGACTTTTAAGCGCGAAATTCAAACAATCCTCACTTCTAAAAATCACACGGTAACAAAATTCAGCTAGCGAACGGGTTTCCTCATCATGTAACGAATAATTTTCGTCTTGCTCTCTGTTTCCTGTACTTATAATAAAAATTAATGACATAAATCAAAATAAAAAAAATTTGACGCATCGGTGTATAAGGCACATAAATAAAATATGGTCAAAAATACATCGCCTGGGTATGTGAATTTCAGGGTAAACGAGTCTGTCCGAAATTGTCCGGTGACACACGATGGAAGACTGTCAAACCTTTAAATTAATAAACGTCAATTACCTAGTTTTTTATGTTCCTAGACCTGTTTGCTTGAGGCAAAGAAAATTTCAACAAGGGCTAGCCGAGCTTCAAGAAGACAATCCACTGTATCGATTTCAAAATGCAACTATACTGTTCAACTGTCGCATTTATGTAATTTATTTTTAAATGTGGGGGGTCTGAACAAGGCTGTTCTACCAATTACTTATACGGATTCTCACAGTTATTTAATCATTGGGCAGTTCTGTAAATAAATACATAAATCCAGTTAATTGAACTCCTCTTTGCGATGGAGCAAGTCAAGTGTTCAAATAAAATAGGCACTTAATTATATTTTGTATGGCAGCGGCAAGTCAAAATCAGAAAAGTAAAAATTCTTTTATCATCATGATGTAGCAACTATTCTAGAAATCCCGATAGACATCGAGGCGCCGTAAAAGATTAGTCATCGGAGAGAAGCAACAAAAGCGGATGTGACACATTTTTTTCGGAAAATATGACTTGTTTGTTCAAATCATTCTAAAATATTCGGGAGCATTCGAAAAGTGAAATATTAGTGAGTGTAGGTGATATGTATTAAAATTGACTGTTATAAATTAATCAATTTCAAAAATTTATCGTTAATTATTTGGAAATAAATATGCATATACATTGATGCCATTTGTAGCATTCTCACATTTTTTGTTAAATAACAAATCGCCAAGTTGGGCCATCGACCTTATTTGGCAGATTTGGCACCTTTTCTGGCACATTGTAGCCATTTCCAAAAGCGAATGTTTTTAAAATAGGTACCTACTAGAAGAGCATCCCATCAGAAGTCTATTTCCAAGAATGTGGCACATCGTCGAACAAATGATGTCGCTGACAAGTGAAAGGCAAGGAGTATGCAATTATTCTTTGCTAAAAGCGATCATATTGACATAGCTTTGTGAAGTATAAATAAATTACGAATTCATTTCGGAGATTTTATTATTAGATCTAATACAAAAACTAATAAAAAAGTAAAAATTGATATATATTCAAGTATGAATTATACATTCAGTGCAAAATGTTGTATATAAATACTGTCAAACAATCGCAAAGATCAAAAAAGTGATCCGTAATACTGTGTAAACATGCACAATGGTGTTTAAATCCCAGTATTAAAAAAGTCCCTCCCAAAGTACTAAATCAATTATCGCATCCCGGCAGCTCGCAGTTCCATTAAGGCACTTTGCGTTATAATACCATGAGTGGAATTGAAGCTGTTAAAGGATGGCACATACACATTACTTTTTGAATTTAATGCTTTGGTTGTGCCCCTCTCACGTGTTAGAAAATCACAGGAAGAGTTGTTGAACTTTTTATAATCAGACGTAGATTTGATTCCATTGAGTTCTTGAGGTAGCATATTAAATTTTTTTAATATCTTTGGTTCAGAACGTGCTTGAATGTTGTGTTTGAGTTTTCCCTTTGCGTGGCCTAGTTTAGGTTCCACAAGTGTTGCCAAAGATCTTTCTTTATCGTAATAATTGGATTTAGCGTAATTATTAATATCTTTGTAAAGCTTCCCTTGTTTATCCGTCTTCATGTCGGAATTAACTTTTAATGAAGGTCTCGATAATAATGATTTTGTTGGTCGAATGTGGTGGTGTGTAGACATGATTTCATATAATTTATTACGGTAATCGTCTACAGTCAAACGAATGTCATCGTTCAGTGGTGGAATAACATTGATATTCATCACTATTTCTTCGTTGGTATTACGAAATCTAGATTAAAGGACGTCAGTTCAGTAACTATTTAGTGAAGCATATCGTTACCTAGACACATACGAGTGTTCTAAGGCTCGTTCGGCAGTAAGTCTTTTGTATGGGCTAAATATTAAAAGATTGTTAATTAAGTCCAAAGAATCTTCTGAGACATTAGAGCCTAATAGTAATTTCAATGGGATTCTTTGCAAGGATGCTGAATTTTTGATCATACATTCACCCACACCAGATGAACATACCAGTGCAATATCTATAAACAAGCTATGTTTCAACGTGTTACTTCAGAATATTTCTACCTTCTTGTGATGGTACTGGAATAGACGCCATTATTTTTTCCACCTGGTTTACCGTCGAAGTTCCTGGAAAAATTGGTTTTCCCAAGACCATCTCCGCTAAAATACAGCCTAAACTCCACATATCAATTCCTTTAGTGTATCTATAAACATAATTTTTACTTCTCGTTCGAATAATTGGAACCTTACTTTCTGTTTGCGATTAAAATTTCTGGTGCTCTGTACCATCTTGTCGCGACATAATCAGTGAGTGTAGGATCTGTGTCATTTGGACTATTTCCAAGGGATTGGGTTAAGGATCGTGCTAACCCGAAATCTGCTATTTTGCACCTAATTGATTACATACCTAATTATTTTAACCCATAGAAGGAATCGCCCATACCTACCTGCACAAGCTATCCAGTAACACATTGCTTGGTTTTTGATCCCTATGGATAACGTTTCCTGAATGGATGTATTTAGTTGCTTTTAACATTTGGTACATGATGTAGCGCTTATGAACGTCTTTTAGAATGTTTCCCCTTTTAATAACATTGTGTAAGTCAGTTTCCATATATTCAAAACCCAAATATATGTCTCTATTATTGGCAGCTCTAATAAGTAGAATAATAATTAGTGCTTTCAACTACCAAAGATTTACCTGTGAATACTAAGAAGTTTAATTATATTAGGATGATCCTTAAATGATTTTAAAAACATAATTTCTCTAAATGTTCGTTGAGCATCAGTCTGATTACGAAACGCATCAAATATTTTCTTCACAGCCACGACTTCTCTAGTTTTTCTATCAATTGCTTTCCAAACTATACCGTAAGCTCCTTTGCCGAGTCTCTTTTGAATATCAAACCGTTTCAAAATGTGATCGTCAATCTCAGACATTTTATCTTTTACGTGTGCCATATTATTTTTATGTAATAGTAGGTAGGTAAATCAGACGAATTTTAAAAAGTTCTTAAAAATATTTCTGTTAGTAGGTAACCCTGTTACCTGTTATAAAATTAAAATCTGTAAAAATGTCATGCTTACTTCACACTTACATCAAACAATCCATTTCAGTGAGGAGCATCCTTTGATTATTTTGTCTCCTCTCGAAATGCATTACCTCCCATTATTGAATGAAATCCATCACAAACTGGTGCTTTGTTTAATCATTAAATAAGAAGTAAATAAAAGGGAAATAGGTTTGTTATTCATGACATTTTAAGTTTTCTGTTAGTTGTCATAGCAACTGGAAAGGGGCGAATGCGCATACCTTTTATACCATTCAATATTCAATTTTTTTATGTAAAAATCATATACATAATACACATTCATTTCTTTATGTTAAAGACGCGTTCGGCACACATGTAGAGTTATAGACCACTCTTAATTCAAAAATTTTAGTAGTTCGTGAAAGAAGAACCTCGTGATGTTGCATTATATAGGCAATTTTTTCGTAGTTGCTATATACCTACCTACTATTTATACATAATTACATACCTACATACAGATGAGGGTCGTCTCCAATAAACTTTTTTGTTGTTGTAATACAGTCGCTGTTTATTTTTATACAGGGTGGTGACTTGCTTAACGCATCATAGGGATTTCAATGTAAAATTCATAACATGATGCGATTATTGACTCCCCAAATTATTTAAGAGCAAAAATGTATTAAGGGTGTATTCCACTTAAATTTTAATTCTATTTGACGGGTTGCATAATACTTACTTGTATAATGAAATGGTAACGAATAAACAAAGATTGAAGAATTTACCTGCCCAACCATTGTATAAAGTAACAAGTAATTACGCTAATTTACCCAGGTCATTAGTCATTGTGACGAATATGCATATATAATTAAACATCCATTAGAAAACGCAAATCATTGTCACAACGGCCAATCCTCAATAATTTCACTTTTCCCAGTTTTTAATAAGACGTATATATTTTTTTTAACCCAGTAATATCATTCCATGAATTGTATTGACCCTATCTGGAAAATAACGCATGTAAGCGAATAAGTACCTATAAATTAGATATCTTTAAAAAAATGTACATTTTTTTACTAATATTTTAGACGTGTTACAAAAAATCGTCTAATTCGGGAACAACACAAAATAAATGAGAACTAACGATTTTTACGCAAATTAAATCTCTTTCCGAAGGATGTTACAGGGAAATAATCTCAAATTTGTATCACACTAAAATTTTAGGGGTGTTTCAAAATTTCGTCTAATTTGGGAACAACACAAAATAAATGAGGACTAAAGGAAAAAGGAAAAAGGCCAACGTGTTTCATTCCTCCGGCACCCCTGACTACAGGGATACCGGAGGC